ACAGCCCCTGGCTTTTTTTTTTTTTTTTTTTTTTTTGAGATGGAGTCTCGCTCTTTGGCCAGGCTGGAGTGCAGTGGCACAATCTTGGCTCACTGCAGCCTCCACCTCCTGAGTTCAAGCAATTCTCTTGCCTTAGCCTCCCAAGTAACTGGGACTACAGGCACACGCCACCACATCTGGCTAATTTTTGTATTTTTTGCAGAGATGGGGTTTCACCATGTTGGCCAAGATGATCTCGATCTCTTGACCTCGCGATCTGCCTACCTCGGCCTCCCAAAGTGCTGGGAATACAGGTGTGAGCCACTGCACCCAGCAGGAACACTACTTTAAATAAACACAAAGGATGCTATTTTTTTCTTAAGACTCATGCAACCACATCTATGTAAGTGAATCCTCGCATAGTATTCGAGTGTGAAACCAAACTTTGGGATACTTTAAAATTTAACGATTGGGAACACTTAGCTCTATTTTATGGAATAAAGTGTTGTCTGATTTTTTTAAAAGATTTTTAAAAAAAGAACAGGCCGGGCGTGGTGGCTCAAGCCTGTAATCCCAGCACTTTGGGAGGCCGAGGCGGGTGGATCACAAGGTCAACAGATCGAGACCATCCTGGTCAACATGGTGAAACCCCGTCTCTACTAAAAATACAAAAAATTAGCTGGGCATGGTGGCACGTGCCTGTAATCCCAGCTACTCAGGAGGCTGAGGCAGGAGAATTGCCTGAACCCAGGAGGCGGAGGTTGCAGTGAGCCAAGATCACGCCATTGCACTCCAACCTGGGTAACAAGAGCAAAACTCTGTCTCAAAAACAAACAAACAAAAAAAAGATTTAACAATTATCCCGTGAAACAGCACTAGTCTAACATCTCTGTCATTTAACTAGACTGAGGATGCCATGGTGGCAGAAGCGTCACTCAGTCGTCGTTGTATCACTGTAGTTCCTGGCATGTTTTATTTATTAGATGAAGGGCCCTCTAAGTGTTCACTCGAAATTCTGTTGCTCTCTTGGTTTTCTTTATTCTTGAGGAAATTACACAAAAGGTCTTTTTTCTTTATACAAAATGAAAGGCAGGCTGGCCGGGCTCAGTGACTCAGGCCTGTAACACTGTGAGGCCAAGGCAGGAGGATTGCTTGACCCCAGGAGGGCAAGGCTGCAATGAGCCGTGATTATGCCACTCCTCTATAGCCTGGGTGACAGAACAAGACTGTTGTCAAAAAAAAAAAAGTTAGAACTCTGTCGAAACTATAATAGCACAGCGCAGGACAGACTGTACAGACCAGTGTGCTACCTTTTGTGTGAAGGGGAATTATCTATATATGTATATGTATATATATAATTATAGTACTCATTGTATATGCATAAAGTCTGAAAGTACATGCTGGGGGGAAGCGGTAGGGAGGGGAAAAGGGTGGATAGGAGACAAGGATGGAAGATTTTTTTTTCTTTGGAGATGGGGTCTTGCTCTGTCACCCAGGCTGGAATGCAGTGGCACAATCTCAGCCCATTGTAACCTCCACCTCATTCTCCTGTCTCAGCCTCCTGAGTAGCTAAGACTACAGGTGTGCATCCCCACACCCAGCTGAGTTTTGTATTTGTAGTAGAGACAAGGTTCCGCCATATATATCCGCCATATATATATATATATACACACACACATACGTTGGCCAGGCTGGTCTCAAACTCCTGACCTCAGGTGATCCGCCCAACCTCGGCCTACCAAAGTGCTGGGATTACAGGTATGGGTCACTGTGTCTGGCCTGGAAGATTTTTATTATATACTGTTTAAAAGTGTTTAAGTAGTTGAAACACGTATGAAGACATCACCTCAAAAATTTATATTAACAATTCGAAAATATGCACATTAAGGATTTTTTAATTTAAAAATTGAGAAATATGGGATAATAATCATGAATTATAAAAATTTGTGCTAAGGCTGATTTTTTATTAGACCTAAGAACCTAATTAACATACAAATCTTGTATTTATGCTGTTCTTTCACAATCTTTATGTAAAGCAGGCTTTTAATAGGATGTCATAGATTTTGCTCGTCTTCAAGTTTCTCCTCTCAAAATCCCACATTTTGTATTTTTAAAAAATCAAAATTAGAAAACAAAATAACGATAGTGTGGTCCCTTTAATTTGGCAGTTTCAACTTTATATAACCTGTCTCACAGAACTAATGGACAAAATGGAGAAGTGGAGGATGTATTTTGCAGCAGCATTGTAAAAGCAAAAACCTGGAAACAGGCCGGGCACGGTGGCTCATGCCTGTAATCCCAGCACTTTGAGGCCAAGGTGGGTGGATCACGAGGTCAAGAGATCGAGACCATCCTGGTCAACAAAAGGAAACCCCGTCTCTACTAAAAATACAAAAATTAGCTGGGCAAGGTGGTGCGCGCCTGTAGTCCCAGCTACTGGGGAGGCTGAGGCAGGAGAACTGCTTGAACCCAGGAGGCAGAGGTTGTGGGGAGCCGAGATCCTGCCATTGCACTCCAACCTGGGTAACAAGAGCGAACTCCGTCTCAAAAACAAAACAAAACAAAACAAAAACCTGGAAACAAATATTGGTGGACAGGCTAAGTAAATCATAGGGCCTCCAGACAATGGAATACTAGCAAGACTATTAAAAAGAATGAGGTAGCTGTAGCTACACTAGTGTGGAAAGATATCCATAATTACCTAGCTTCCCCTCCCAAAAAAAACCTTGAAAATCATACTAGAATGGTCCAATTTGTGTCTGTATTTATTATGTACATATAAAAATGTACATATAAAAAAACGGTATATTTTTACACAGAGGAAAAGTCCAAAAGAATACCAACCTGTAAAAAGCAGTTATCCCTGGAAAGTAAAATACAGCAGGAACTTAGATTACTGTCACCTTTACTTTATAAACCTGCACACACACACACAATGTGGATTTAAGTATGCACTGCAATTCCAAATAGTAAGAGACCTGGCGTGAGGCCAGGAGTTTGAGACTAACCTAAGCAACAAGCAAAATCCCCTTTTTTTTTTTTTTTTTTGACATTCTTGCTGTCGTCCAGGCTGCAATGCAGTGGCACAATCTCTGTTCACTGCAACCTCCAACCTCCAGTTCAAGCAATTCTCCTGCCTCAGCCTCCGGAGTAACTGGTATGATAGGTGCCCACCACCATGCCCAGCTAATTTTTGTATATTTAGTAGAGACAGGGTTTCGCCATATTGATCAGGCTGGTCTCAAACTCCCTTTAATTTGGAACCTCAGGTGATCTACCCACCTCAGGCTCCCCAAGTGCTGGGATTACAGACGTGAGCCACTGCGCCCAGCCCGAAATCTCCTATTTTTGAAAAAGATAAAAAATTTTTTCCCGAGAGTGACCACATATATCACTAATTTTTTGAATATGCTTGTTGCTCTGTACTGCTTTTCAAAATTTTTCTGGTACCTAATTCGCAATTTCTCATTGAACTTGATTGGAAGCACTTTAGTTCAAAGGGCCAAGTGTTCTTCAGTGAGTTTTCAAGTGAGCATCCTTGCCTCTGCAACACTCACACAGCTTTATTGCAAAGACTAACGCTCTCTCATGCCAAGATTCTGCCGGCTCTGCACAATCTGTAACACCAGTATCACCCAGTTCCCACATCCCACATCGTCAGCAGCCACAGCCTTTCTTGCACTTGACTTGATGTAGCTTTGGTTTCCAAAAAGCACTTGACACTGATTATGAACTTTGCAATGCCTGACACCAAGCGTACATCTTCAAGACACTATTCAAGGTACTTTTTCCTTACACAAAGGTCACCCAGATTTTAACAGGCACTAAAATTACACAAGATTCACATACTAACTGGAAATGATTGCCTGGATAGCAGTGGTTTTGTTGGCTTGTCATGTTACCTGACTCACATGCTCACTTGAATGGAAGTCACAGAAATTATTATACACTAGATGTATTCACAATGAAAACTCGATGGATTTGCGGATTTCTCAAATTTTAGTCCATTAGCCCTAAAACTAAAGCTAAAACTGATTTAAGCCACCTTCAGGTGCTTTACAATTGCTGGAGCCAACATGAAATTCTTCCGGAGATGTTGTTCATGAATCCCCTAAAACTTGGAGAGGAGGGACGCTCCTTGGGACAAACCTTCCAAGGCCTCTAATGAGCCTCTGGATGACCTCTGGGATGCCTACTGCCTGGTGTCCATCCCTTGTATTAAACCAGTTTCTCTGCAACTTCCACCTTTGGTGCTAGTCAACATGAACACCTTACTAGTACCGTCTGATTGGGTGAATGCTACTATACACTTGAGACAAACCAAGAAGTCAATTGCTTCACCTACTAGTTACATGCCTGTCCACCTTACTTGACAATTTCAGCAAAAAACTGCTTGAATAGCTTTTATTCTCTAAACACTAATTCTACACCATGACAACTATGCCTTTTTCCACCTGCAACGTCCTTTTAAAATCACTTGATCCCAGGACTGTGTGTGCAGCTCAACATACATTTACTAGGCCTATGTACTTCATTCTTTCACAGGGACCCTCTCATCACTCCCACCTTTTAATATTCCTTCTCCCTTCCTGTTACCTCACACACCCCCAACCAGTATTTTTAAGTAACTTGAAAAAGTATCTCCCAATAACCTGATTACGACAGTCTTGCTCTGTTCCCCCAGGTGGAAGTACCGTGCTGCGATCTCAAATCACTGCCAACCTCTGCCTCCTGGGTTCAAGGGATTCTCCTGCCTCAGCCTCCGGTGTAGCTGGGATTACAAGCACCTGCCACACCTTTTTGTATTTTCAGTAGAGCTGGGGTTTCACCATGTTGGCCAAGCTGGTCTTGAACCTGCGTTTTATTTGCACCCACTTTCTACAGTTCATATTGTAAATCTACCTCCCCCCATTCACTGACATTTCATGGTTACCACGGTAACATTTGCGGACTGGAAACCTTGATCCCCTTCACCCTATCTAATGCAAAAATACCTTAACTTAAAAAAAAACCCACACCAATTGGGAATGCAACAACTTTATTGAAAGAAAAGTGCAATGAGATTTGTTGAAACCTTAAAGGGGAAACTTAAACACCCCCCCTCAAGCGCAGGACCAAGTGCAGAGTGGACTCTTTCTGGATATTGTAATCAGAGAGGGTGCGCCCATCTTCCAGCTGCTTTCCGGCAAAGATCAACCTCTGCTGGTCAGGAGGGATGCCTTCCTTGTCTTGGATCTTTGCCTTGACGTTCTCAATGGTGTCACTGGGCTCGACCTCAAGGGTGATGGTCTTACCGGTCAGGGTCTTCACGAAGATCTGCATGCCACCTCGGAGACGGAGAACGAGATGAAGGGTAGACTCTTTCTGGATGTTGTAGTCAGACAGGGTGCGCCCATCTTCCAGCTGCTTTCCGGCAAAGATCAACCTCTGCTGGTCAGGAGGGATTCCCTCCTTGTCCTGGATCTTTGCCTTGACGTTCTCAATGGTGTCACTGGGCTCGACCTCAAGGGTGATGGTCTTACCAGTCAGGGTCTTCACGAAGATCTGCATGCCACCTCTGAGACGGAGGACAAGGTGCAGAGTGGACTCTTTCTGGATGTTGTAGTCAGACAGGGTGCGCCCATCTTCCAGCTGCTTTCCGGCAAAGATCAACCTCTGCTGGTCAGGAGGGATGCCTTCCTTGTCTTGGATCTTTGCCTTGACGTTCTCAATGGTGTCACTGGGCTCGACCTCAAGGGTGATGGTCTTACCAGTCAGGGTCTTCACGAAGATCTGCATGCCACCTCGGAGACGGAGAACGAGGTGAAGGGTGGACTCCTTCTGGATATTGTAATCAGACAGGGTGCGCCCATCTTCCAGCTGCTTTCCAGCAAAGATCAACCTCTGCTGGTCAGGAGGGATACCCTCCTTGTCTTGGATCTTGGCCTTGACATTCTCGATGGTGTCACTGGGCTCGACCTCAAGGGTGATGGTCTTACCAGTCAGGGTCTTCACGAAGATCTGCATGCCACCTCTGAGACGGAGGACGAGGTGCAGAGTGGACTCTTTCTGAATGTTGTAGTCAGACAGGGTGCGCCCATCTTCCAGCTGCTTTCCGGCAAAGATCAACCTCTGCTGGTCAGGAGGGATGCCCTCCTTGTCCTGGATCTTGGCCTTGACGTTCTCGATGGTGTCACTGGGCTCGACTTCAAGGGTGATGGTCTTGCCGGTCAGGGTCTTCACGAAGATCTGCATGCCACCTCGGAGACGGAGGACGAGATGAAGGGTAGACTCTTTCTGGATGTTGTAGTCAGACAGGGTGCGCCCATCTTCCAGCTGCTTTCCGGCAAAGATCAACCTCTGCTGGTCAGGAGGGATGCCTTCCTTGTCCTGGATCTTGGCCTTGACATTCTCAATGGTGTCACTGGGCTCGACCTCAAGGGTGATGGTCTTACCAGTCAGGGTCTTCACGAAGATCTGCATGCCACCTCGGAGACGGAGGACAAGGTGCAGAGTGGACTCCTTCTGGATATTGTAATCAGACAGGGTGCGCCCATCTTCCAGCTGCTTTCCGGCAAAGATCAACCTCTGCTGGTCAGGAGGGATGCCTTCCTTGTCCTGGATCTTGGCCTTGACATTCTCAATGGTGTCACTGGGCTCGACCTCAAGGGTGATGGTCTTGCCGGTCAGGGTCTTCACGAAGATCTGCATTGTCTGTTTTGACAAAAAGCCAAAAACCACCAGGATTTAGCAATTTATTAGCCTTCCTAATGCTGTAAGTTAAATGTCACATTGACCCAAACAATTAAAACTTGCGTTACTTCACAAAACACACTCACCAGCCTGTTTTCAAAACCCAGGCTTCAACTCCTTACAACGGTAGGTACACAAAACCGACCGAAGACACTGAAGCCTCGCTTACCCTTCCCTCTCGGGAGGTCTGGCGCCTGTCGATTCAGGAGGTCCTACCCTAGGCCCAACCCTGCGTCCTGCGACGGAGAAGAGCCCACCGCTCACCTCCCGGCAGGTGGCCCCGCCCCGCAATTATGAGCCGACAGAACGAGAACGGGTGACGTCACCACAGAGCGAAGGCGCGCTCTCCCCCCCCCACAGCGCGCCCCATTGCCGCGCGGCCACGCGGTAACCGCTACCCCCGCAACGGACAAGACGAGCTCTCCAGTCAATCACAAACTTCACGTCAGGGTCCCCCAATGGTGCCCCAGCCCATCCCACGAGAATCAGAGCTTTCCGGCATTAGCGAAGGCCTCCAAGCCTTGAGTCCATGCCCCCCAACCTTGTTTCAACGACCTCACGGCCCGCCTCACAGGCGTCTTCCACGCAGCGCTCGGAACAGCCGCCATTTTGCTGCGTTCTCCCCACCTCAAGACCACCTTTCTAGCGGACACAGCCGACAGCCCTCCCCAGTCTCTAGACCCGGGGCGGCAACCCGCCTCCATCCCACCTCGCGGCCGTTCGGCCCCGAAAGCCCCAGCCCGCCCAGAACCCCACTGCTCACCAAGCGGCGATGACAGCAACGGACAAACCACGAACACAACTGCACTCCCGGCTGCGACGGAACTAGCTGCACCACGCCCGGAGCGTCCTTATATAGTCATCGGCGTACACCGCCCCGAGGAGATCCCTCCGCAGAACCGCCGAGAAGGGACTATTTTTCCCCGCCTGTTCCGCTCTCTGGAAAGAAAACCAGTTCCCTAGAGTCACCCAGGTCCCGTCCTAAAATGTCCTCCTGCTGAGACTGGGGTTCTGGGCCGAGTCTGGTGGGCAGCGGGCCGCCGTCCTGAGAGGCCGGGCGGAGGGATCAAGGCACTAGCTGCGCACTGCGATTGTGACGTAGCGGCGCTCGCCGTGGGGAGGGAGCCGCCCGCGGGAGGCGCCAAAACCCGGCCCGGAACTGCGGCGCCTGGAGTCGGTGGGCGGCCGGCGTTCCTCGGCTGCGATCGTGCACCCCCTCCCTTCAGCCCCCGCGGTCGCCACGGGTCGCCAACTCGTGTTCGGTGGACGTGGGGCGGGAACTGAGCGCCTCCCGCAGAGTCGGGGTGTCCCTCCCCTCCCCCGCGACCTGCCCTGGCCCACCCCGCGAGACGGACAGGACTTTATTTTGGGTCACATTTGAGATACTGACTGGGCTTGCTTTGCTCAGCCCCCCTCAACCTCCCTCATTCCCAGCCTCTGCAGTCCCGACCTCCCTCAGTCCCAGGGGGGCTCCCTAGGGCCGCCCCCATCCCCCGCTGCGGGCCGCGGGACAAGGACGATGACTCGGCAGATCTCTGGGCGGGCGCGGCCAGGAACGCTCGAGAACTTTCCAGGGGAGACACTGCAGAGGATCTGGGTGTCCAGGTTAAATTTAGAAAAGAGAGGCGGAAACACCACGCAGCTTTTTTAAACTATCTGAGCTGGAATACAGGGCTGAGCGGACATCTTTCTAGACTGTTCTTTCACCTTCCTGCACATTCTGAGGGCCGGATATGGAAAGGTCCTACTTGGTGGCAACAGGGAGACATGGAAATTTCTCAGGTTTCAATGGGTATGATTATTGTAATCAGGATCCATTCAATAATCAGACCCATTTTTAACCCGGAGATTTTGAAAGACAGGAAGGCCGGGCATGGTGGCTCAAGCCTGTAATCCCAGCACTTTGAGAGGCTGAGACGGGTGGATCACCTGAAGTCAGGAGTTCAAGACCAGCTTGACCAAAATGGTGACACCCCGTCTCTATAAAAATAAATACATAAATAAAAAAAGACAGGGCCGGGCGCGGTGGCTCAAGCCTGTAATCCCAGCACTTTGAGAGGCTGAGACGGGTGGATCACCTGAAGTCAGGAGTTCAAGACCAGCTTGACCAAAATGGTGACACCCCGTCTCTATAAAAATAAATACATAAATAAAAAAAGACAGGGCCGGGCGCGGTGGCTCACGCCTGTAATCCCAGCACTTTGGGAGGCCGAGAAGCGTGGATCACGAGGTCAAGAGATCGAGACGATCTGGTCAATATGGTGAAACCAGTCTCTACTAAAAATCAGCTGGGCATGGTGGCGCGTGCCTGTAGTCCCAGCTACTCGGGAGGCTGAGGCAGGAGAATTGCCTGAACCCAGGAGGCGGAGGTTGAGGTGAGCCGAGATCGCGCCATTGCACTCCAGCCTGGGTAACAAGAGGGAAACTCCATCTCAAAAACAAAAAAAAAAAAAAAAAAGAATAAAATCCCAGCCCTATTTCGGGGCGGGGGGAGAAGAAAACTAAGTATGCAAATATGAAATGTAATCGTACAGGGCAAATCTATTTTGATAAAAGAAGTGGGAGAAAAGAATCACCAGACAGGTTTTTAAATTTTTACCACAACCTATTTCGTGATCCTTATGTGTCATTTCTTCGGCATATTTTTTAAATGTTTTAAAATATAAGAACATCGTGAGATTTTTTTTAAATAGATCTTTTTTAAGTGTGCCATGAAAAGTCCCCCTCATGCCCTCAATTTCCCAGCCACTGTTCCTTCTGGACTCTTCTAGAAATAGTTCCTGCTTCTACAATGTATTGGAGGTAGGGAGGCTACTTTGATTTCTACCTTGTAGCCTTCAAAAAAAAGAAAAAGAGGCTACTTCCTGAAAATGTTTTGCCGTTAGGAAAAGGCTAGATTCTTTTTTTTTTTTTTTTTTTTTAAATACGGGGTTTCACCATGTTGTGGTCAGGCTGGTCTTGAACTCCCGACCTCAGGTGATCCGCCCGCCTTGGCCTCCAAAGTGCTTGGATTACAGGCGTGAGCCACCACGCCCGGCCGAACATTATGTTATTTAAATGTCACTTAAAATATGCATCGAAGCAAAATGAACCTGCTATATATTTTCTCTGGTAACATGTTTGTATTTATGAAAATGCAAGTTCTGTGCATTGTTCAAATAGGCTTTGACATCTCTAATTTTTAACATTTTAGAGAGAATGAATTTCTGTGTTGCTGGGAAATTAAATGATAAAAGTGTCACTTTCCAGGCTTGGCAGGATACGCCAGTGATTTCCAATACACGTTTCTGCTAAGTTTTTGTTTTTTGTTTTCCCCTAGGTTTCGGGAAGGAGTTTTGAAAGGAATAAAAAAAGCTGAGATTCTGAGATTCTTTCTGACGTGACCAGGCCTGGCTTTCAACCACGCCCTGTTTGCTTTCGGCTGTGACCCTGCTGCAAGCCTTGTGATTCATGTTGTTTAAAGGCTGAGTCACCAGCTTGGTGACATAGCTTTTTTCAGAGTCCAAAAGGTACAGAGAAAAACAACTCTGACTGCAGAGGCGGGGAGGGAGAGGAGGACATGAGGCAGAGTAAGAAGAGGGTGAGGGGAGGATGGAGAATGGGCCAAAGGTTAGCAACGAAGAGAAACCGAAGTTGTCTCAAGCAGAAAAAACATATTGAAAACACCCCGGCATTCCGACTTGGTTATTAAAGCAAGCAGAAATAAACCTTTCTCCAAGGTCACTGAGGTGACAGGGAAGGGAGAAGAAAATGGCCTCCCAAAACACAGGTGTCCAGTGTTTCTCTAGAAAAAATGTTCTCAAGAAGGAGTGATATGCCCCTCCGGGGACATTTGGCAATATCTGGATATATCCTTGGATGTCACAGCTCAGTGGGTAGGAGGGGGTGCTGCTCTTAATACTGGCACTCGTGGTGGCCACCAGGGATGCCGCTGAACGTTCTGTGAGGGACAGTCCCCCACAACAAAGAATTAGCCGACCCAAAACGTTAATGACATTTGGAACGCGCTGAAATCAAGAAGCCCTGCCCTAGAAAGGGTTTTTGTTGCGGCAACAACTGCTTTCGTGTTTTCCGAAAGGGCTCCCGAAGTCTAAATGTCCCACTTGGACTCAGGAGTCAGGTATCAAGTCACGCTCTTAAAACCTAAACCCTGCTGACCTAGAATGCGACGTGCTAGAATGTGCGAGAATGGGATGAGTCACTGGATCCGTTTTCAGTTCGTTCCACCCACAGATCCGTCCTTTGCAGGCGCCCCAGAAAAGATTGCTTCAGAGCTGGCACCAATGGAGACGGGACAGAGGCCCAGCAACAGGGCGGGATTGGCAGGCGGGCGGAAGCATGTGATGGGCTGAGCTCACAAAGGGCCCGGGTGCTGGGCTGCTGCTGGGGCGGGTGCGGGTGGATCAGCGCCTGCTCCTTCGCCTTCCTCTCTCCCCTCCCCCTTCTGAAGGTCACTACCTTGTCTGTCACTTATTCCAGCCCCAAGCAACTGTCTTGAGAGCAGGAGTGAGGGTCAGCCAAGTCGTTTCCCCCAAGAGAAAGGGCGGAGTCAGAGAGCTGGTGGGAAGGGTTTGTCTTGCTTTCTCAACGCTTATATAACCATAAAAGGTTGTCAAGGATGCCTGCAGGTTAGAGGCCTGGCAAACAGGAAGAAGAAGAAAACCCTAGGGAATGTGTTCTTCCTGTTTCTACTTGTGTTGCATAGTTGTGTGATGGAACACAAATTGCTCCCGCTTAGAAATATCCGGTTCATCTCACCAGTCAAGCCAGACTGCAGGACTGGCCTCCAAAGTTGCCTTGTTTAAGAGCATAAGGAAGTTATTTAACCTATTTGGGCTTTGTTTTGTCACTGTTTGGTTTTGTCTCAAAATTGTGGTAAAATAGACATAAAATTTACTATTTTTTTTAATGAATGACAGTTTCTTATCTTGCCCAGGCTGGCCTGGAACTCCTAGCCTCACCTCCTCAAGCACCAGGACAACTGGCCTGGGCCACTGTAGTTCCCATAATATTTACTATTTTTAAGTGTACATTTATTTTTTCTTTTTGAGACAGAATTTCGCTCTTGTCACCAAGGCTGGAGTGCAATGGCGCAATGTCAGCTCACCGAAACCTCTGACTCCAGGTTCAAGCAATTCCCCTGCCTCAGCCTCCCAAGTAGCTGGGATTACAGGCAGCGCCAACATGCCCGGTTCATTTTGTATTTTTAGTAGAGACAGGGTTTCTCCATGTTAGTCAGGCTGGTCTTGTACTCCTAACATCAGGTTCTCTGCCCGCCTCTGACTCCCAAAGTGCGGGGATTACAGGCTGAGTCACCTCGCCCGGCCAAGTGTGCATTTCCGTAGCATGGAGTACATTCAGTGCTGCACACCGGCCATCACCAGCATCCATTTCCAGAACTCTTTTCATCTTGCAAAACAAACTCTGTACCCATGAACAATTAACTCCCCGTTCCTCCCTCCCGCAGCCCCTGGCGTCCACCATTCTTTCTGTCTCTGTGAATTTGACTACTCAGATGACCTCATATAATAAGCTTTACGTGTAAAATAAAATGTAATAGTTGAAAAAGCTTTTTTTCAAAGAGCATTTCTAGGAAGCTCCAATTCCTGACACAAGCCTTTAACAATAACAGCTCCTTGTGGTATTTTCTTCCTTGTCCTGCACTAGTAGAAATATTTGGCTTTGTTTCTTTGTTTATTTTTTTCGAGATGGAGTTTTGCTCTGTTGCCCAGGCTGGAGTGCAATAGCACTATCTTGGCTCACTGCAACATCTGCCTCCCAGGTTCAAGCAATTCTCCTGCCTCAGCCTCCCAAGTAGCTGGGATTACAGGCACCTATCACCACACCTGGCTAATTTTGTATTTTCAGTAGAGACGGGGTTTCTTCATGTTGGTCAAGCTGGTCTCAAACTCCCAACCTCAGGTGATTCACCCACCTCGGCCTCCAAAAGTGCTGGGATTACAGGCGTGAGCCACCACACCCGGCCCTGTTTGTTTATTTTTTGAAACTATCTGGCTCTGTCATGCAGGGGTATGATCACGTCTTACTCTGAAGCCTCGAGTTTCCGGTTCAGGTGATCCTCCCACCTCAGTCTCCTGAGTAGGTAGGACTACAGGTATGTATAACCACACCTAATTTCTGCTTTTTTTTTTTTGTAGAGAGGAGGGTTTTGCACTTTGGGAGGCTGAAGCACGTAGATCACCTGATGTCCGGAGTTCCAGACAAGGTGGGCCAACATGTTGAAACCCTGTCTCTACTAAAAATAAAAAAAAAATAGCAGGCATGGTGGCTCATGCCCATAATCCCAGCTCCTCCGGAGGCTGAGGCAGAAGAATCACTTGAACCATGGAGGAGGAAGTTTGGTGAAACCCTGTCTTTACTAAAAATACCAAAATTAGCTGGGCATGGTGGCACATGCCTGTAATCCCAGCTACTCGGGAGGCTGAGGCAGGAGAATAGCTTGAACCAGGGAGTCAGAGGTTGCAGTCAGCCAAGATCATGCCACTGCACTTCAACCTGGCAACAGAGCAAGACTCCGTCTCAAAAAAAAAGAATAAAATAAAATAAAATAGATGGGGGTTTTCACCATGTTGCCCAGGCTGGTCTTGAACTCCTGGGCTCAAGTGATCCTCCTGCCTTGGCCTCCCACAGGGCTGGGAATACAAGCATGAGCCACTGTAACCCCAGCACTTTGGGAGGCTAAGGCGGGCGGATCACTTGAGGTCAGGAGTTCAAGGCCAGCCTGACCAATATGGAGAAGCCCCGTCTCAAAAAAAAAAAAAAAAAATTATAACGTACAAAGTAATGTCATATAAGTGGGGGTCATAGTAAGAAATAAAAAACAGGCCGGGCACAGTGACTCACGCCTATAATCCCAGCACTTTGGGAGGCCGAGGTGGGTGGATCACGAGGTCAACAGATCGAGACCATCCTGGTCAACATGGTGGAACCCCGTCTCTACTAAAAACACAAAAATTAGCTGGGCATGGTGGCGTGCGCCTGTAGTTCCAGTGACTTGGGAGGCTGAGGCAGGAGAATTGCCTGAACCCCAGAGGCGGAGGTTGCGGTGAGCCGAGATCATGCCATTGCACTCCAGCCTGGGTAACAAGAGTGAAAACTCCGTCTCAAAAAAATAACAGACCGGGTACGGTGGCTTAAGCCTGTAATCCCAGCACTTTGGGAGACCGAGGCGGGTGGATCAGGAGGTCAAGAGATCGGGACCATCGTGGTCAACATGGTGAAACCCCGTCTCTACTAAAAATACAAAAAATTAGCTGGGCATGGTGGCACGTGCCTGTAATCCCAGCTACTCAGGAGGCTGAGGCAGGAGAATTGCCTGAACCCGGGAGGCGGAGGTTGCAGTGAGCCAAGATCGCGCCATTGCACTCCAGCCTGGGTAACAAGAGCGAAACTCCGTCTCAAAAAAATAAAAAATAAAAATAAAAAAATATTGAAAAAAGCCAGGAATGGTGGCTTACACCTGTAGTTCCCAGCAATTTGGGAGGCCAAGGAAAGAGGGTCACTTCAGCCCAAGAGTTAAGAGCAGCCTGAGCTACACGGTGAAACACTGTGTCTATCAAAACAAACAAGCAGCAAAACTTAGCCAGGCGGTGGTGCATGCCTCCAGCCAGCTGCTCAGGAGGCTGAGGTGTGAGGATCACTTGGGCCTAGGAGTTTGAGGCTGCAGTGAGCTGTGATTGCTCTCCAGCCTGGGCAATAGAAACAGACCCTGACTCAAGAAAAAAAAAGGAAAAAGAATTAAAAGAAAAAAGAAACAAAGTGAAACTGCTTTTGCAAACGTCAAAACAGAAAATTATTACAGCAAAAGAGATTGGACCTCACTGAGTCCATCTTGTGTCTAGCCTCCAAACTAACTTTGGAGGAGCTTAGTTTATAGTTTAATTTTGAAACAAAGGTGATAAACAGCCTTTTTCCAAAACAATCCCCCTTCCTTCCTGGGCACTAGACTGCTTTGCAGGACTAGCAAATTGGCCACAAGATCCACAAGATCAGAAATTTTTTTTTAGAAAGTTTCTCTCTTGTAGCCCAGGCTTGAGTGCAATGGCGCCATCTCGGCTCACTACAACTTCTGCCTCCCGGGCTCAAGCAATTCTCCTGCCTCAGCATCCCAAGTAGCTGGGTTTACAGGCACCCGCCACCACGCTCGGCTAACTTTTGTATTTTTAGTAGAGACACGGTTTCACCACATTGGCCAGGCTGATCTCGAACTTCTGACCTTAGGTAATCCACCTTCCTCAGTCTCCCAAAATGCTGGGATTGTAAGTGTGACCTACCACACCTGGCCAAGATTTGAAATTGTGGTTTGTGAGTGATGCAGCTGTGTCGAGAGAGGTTGACCCTGCCCCCATGGCTCGCTTGTGGAGAATACCTTTTAGTTTGTAATTAGTGGTAGGTGGGTAACAGCTGCCTACTTGGTATATTTTTGAGTTATGAGTAAATACAGAACACCTGTTTATTAATAGTCGCCTGTTAAGAATAACTACGTGGCTGAGAATCTGCTCGGGGCCTACAGCCTGGAATGCTGCCAGGCCCTGAGGCTCTCAGCTCGATTGGCTGCTGCCCTCCCCCACCACCCACATAGATCCGGTCTGTTCTATCTGGCTGTCTGCCTTGGCCTGAGTCGGGGGGTCTCCCAACTGAGCTGGTACACAGCACAGCTGGAGACTGCAAAATTCCGTTCAGGCCCAAATTGCTCCTGAGGATAACATCACTATTATAAAACCTAAGATCAGTGCTTGAGGTATTCTGCATACTCTGCACTTCGGCAGACACCACCCAGATTGATAAACTGGCTCGTCTAGTCTCGTGGCCCTCACCTAGGAACTGACTCAGCGCAAAGGGACAGTTTGGACTCCCTGTGATTTCATCTCTGACCCAACCCATCAGCACTCCTGATTTCCCGATCCCACCTACCCATCAAATTATCCTTAAAACCTCCAGCCCCTGAGTTTTCAGGCAGACTGATTTGAGTAATGGTAAAACTCCTGTCTTCCACACTGCCAGCTGTGCGTGAATTAAACTTCTCTATTATGGCAGAGAGAAGTGGCTCATGCCTGTAATCCCAGCACTTTGGGAGGCTGAGGTGGGTGGGTCACAATTCCCCTGTCTTAATAAATTGGCTCTGTCCAGGCAGCAGGAGAGGAGAAACTGGTGGGCAGTTATGGAAGCACGTCAGTTTTGTGTTAGGCCTGACGACTTCAGAAATGTTCCTCAATGTTTTTCCCCTAAAACCTTGATGACGCCGGGCACGGGGGCTCACGCCTGTAATCCCAGCACTTTGGGAGGCTGAGGCGGGTGGATCACGAGGTCAAGAGATCGAGACCATCCTGGTCAACATGGTGAAACACGTCTCTACTAAAAATACAAAAAATTAGCTGGGCATGATGGCGCGTGCCTGTAATCCCAGCTACTCAGGAGGCTGAGGCAGGAGAATTGCCTGAACCCAGGAGATGGAGGTTGCGGTGAGCCGAGATTGCGCCATTGCACTCCAGCCTGGGTAACAAGAGCCAAACTCCGTCTAAAAAAAAAATAAAAATAAAAAATATTATTTATTTTTATTTATTTATTTTTACCTAAAGATTATGCATGCACGTAAATCTTATTTTCTTTTTTTGTAGAGACAGGATCTCCCTTTGTTGCCCGGGCTGGTTTCAAACTCCTGGGCTAAATTTGCTCTACTCTCGCTTCATGCCTCCCGAAGTGCTGGGATGATAGGTCTGAGTCACTGAGTCCAGCCACCGTGTTTTGCTTTCAGTGATAAAATACAGAAACGCAGTGGAGGTGAAAGCAACTCCATCTTGGATGCTAATCTGCCAAGGTAACTTCCAATTAATGCCTCTTCCAGGAAGGCTTCTAAGATTTCTACTTCACTTTTACCGTAAATTCTGCGCTTAGATCAGGACAACCTAGATCATAAATCCTGCCCCTAGGCAGATTCACATAACATGCTTGCCTTTGCCTGAGGGTTCGACTTCAGTTATCCTCCGTATTCTTTCCCTATGGTATGTATAGAAGCCCTGGATCTGGGGGTTATGGCGCAGCAAACCTCATATCCTCTGATGGCCACTTAGATTATGGCTTCTGTTGATAAGTCCCTAATAAATGTTTCTTTCTGAGAAACTGGGGTTGTCAGCCCCTTTCTTTGGCCTCTCAGCTCCCTTGGCCTTTGGGGGTAGGTTCGCATAGGCCTGCTCACCCCGGAACACAGCATATGAATATAAATGTAAATCATACGTGCAATTAAGCCACTGGTTTGTCGTATCCATGGAGATGTGTTGCTGAGGAAGCAGAGGGCAGAGCCCCGCTGGGATGAGAGTTTGCTTTTGGGTTCCTCCCATGCAAACGAGGTGGTTAGTGGCAGTGCAGAGGAGTGAGATGGCAAACAGGGGGGCCCAGACCTTCCAGCCACTTACACACTTGCCCTCTGATGGCCAGAAATTCGTCAAAGCCCTCCGGGCCAGTGCATTGCCATCACAGTGGCACAGATGTGGCGTAAACTCCCCAGCTGATCATCCTGCTCACTTTTGCTGTGGTTTCAATCATTGAGTCTGGTTTTGCCTTAACCCTTTTCTGCTGATTACTCCCATCAGCCTTTTCTAGTTCACGTGCATTGAAAACATTAGAGATTTGAGAATGGGAAGATCATGCCTGGTGTGAAAATCTGAGCTCCAAGTAATACCTGGAATCATAATACTTATAGTAATCACATCCATGGCACGTTATTGACAAAGAACCGCGGGCCAAAATGAATAGACAAGTCAGCAAAACCACAGTGGAGATGCCGGGGATCGAACCCGGGGCCTCATACATGCAAAGCATGCGCTCTACCACTGAGCTACATCCCCCTCCTTTTCCATGGTGCTTTTGAAAGGCTTTGCTATAGTCTATTCTTAAAGATGTTTTCGTGTTTCTGTGTTTTACTTTTATTTTTGGCTTTTATAATCGTTTTGACACATAACAATCGTGCACATTCATGAGGTGTGGTGTGATGTTGTGATCTATGTACACAATTTGCAATGTTCAAATCGGCAGTGACCACATCCATCCCTTCAGATGTATCATTTGTGCTGGGAGACATTACGACTCCATGCTTCCAGCTATTTGAAATGTACAGTAAGTTGTTGTACTCACCCTTCGGGGACACTGGAACTTACCTCCTATTTAGCTGTACTTTCGCATCCCGTAACCCGCCTTTGGCTGCTCCCACCTCCTCACCCCTTCCCCGCCTTCATAACTACTATTCTGCTCTCCACTTCTGTGAGACCTGCTATTTCGGCTTCCGCATGTGAGTGAGATCATGCAGTATCTATCTTTCTGTGCCTGGCTTATTTCACTATGTAATGTCTTCCAAACTTACCCATGTTTTTATTTTTGTTTGTAGAGGAAAAATGACAGGATTTCATTTTGTTGCGTTTTTGTTTTTTTTTTTTTAAGGTCGAGTAGTATTCTACTGTGTAGGTACACCACATTTTCTCTATCCATGTATCTGTTGACGGATACTTGGGTGGATTCCACGTGTAGCTCTTGTGAACAAAGCTGCAATACACATGGGAGTGCAAACGGTTTTTAGTTTTTTGTTTGTTTGTTTTGAGACGGAGTCTGGCTGCCACCCAGGCCGGAGTGCAGTGGCATGATCTTGGCTCACTGCAACCTCCCCCTCCTGGGTTCAAGCGATTCTCCTGCCTCAGCCTCCCAAGTAGCTGAAACTACAGGCGTGCACCACCATGTCCGGCTATTTTTTGTACTTTTAGTAGAGATGGGGGTTTCAGCATATTGGCCAGGCTGGTGTCAAACTCCTGACCTCAGGTGATCCTCCTGCCTCGGCCTCCTAAAGTGCTAGGATTACAGGTATGAGCCACTGCGCCCAGCCAAGGTTTTTTCCTAAATAAAACTTTTGTGTGTTTAAGTGAATGTTAGAGTTTAGCAAAAGCACAACAAAATAAATTGTTTTATGTTTCCCAAGTAGGTCAGCTCTTCATAACCTTGCAACTAAAATTCTAGCAGATACCGCAACCAAGGAACTAATGAAAACTGACCCATTCTTTTTTTCTTTTTTTGATTTGAGACAGAATTTTGCTCTGGTTGCCCAGGCTGGAGTGCAATAGTGTGATCTCAGCTCACTGCAGCCTCCACCTCCCAGGTTCAAGCGATTCTCCTGCCTCAGTTTCCCAAATAGCTGGGACTACAGGTATGCACTACCACACTTGGCTAATTTTATTTTTAGTAGATATGGGGTTTCACCATGTTGCCCAGGCTGGTCTTGAGCCCCTGACCTTGGGTGATCCGCCCATCTTGGCTTCCCAAAGTGCTGAGATTACAGGCCTGAGCCACTGTGCCAGGTCAAAACTGACCCATTCTTCAGAGGGGAGGGGGGAGAGGGGAGAGGGAATCAAGTTTCTTTCCAATAAGTAAGTGCATCGTCTTGATTGTACCTCCACCCAGAAACCTCTGATTTCTCATCCTTTAAAACCTACCAACCTTCAGTGACTTTGAGGTTTGTCGTATCAGCTGGAAGACTTTTTTTCCTCCCAAAAGAACTATTATGGTTGTGTGTCATGGCTTCTGTTGATTACATGCCTGTAATCCCAGCACTTTGGGAGGCCAAGGTGGGTGGATCACTTGAGGCCAGGAGTTCAAGACCAGCCTGGCCAACATGGTGTGAACCCTGTCTCTACCAAAAATACAAAAAATTAGCCGTGTGTGGTGGTGAGTGCATGTCGTCCCAGCTACTTGGGAGGCTGAGGAGAGGGGATTGCTAGAGTCCAGGAGGCGATGGTTGCAGTGAGCCGAGATCGCACCACTGCACTCCAGCCTGGGAGACGGAGGGAGACAACAAACAAACCCTCTGTGACTATAAAAATGAGCAGACTGAAAACAAACAGATCCACTCCCCAGAACCAGGGCTTTGGCTCACAGGAGGGAGTCTCTTTACAACAGCCCACTGAAAAGAGCCATTCTTTATTTTATTTTTATTATTATTATTATTTTTTGAGACGGAGTTTCGCTCTTGTTACCCAGGCTGGAGTGCAATGGCGGGATCTCGATCTCTTGACCTTGTGATCCACCTGCCTCGGCCTCCCAAAGTACTGGGATTACAGGCTTGAGCCACCGCGCCCGGCCTTTTTATTTTTTATTTTATTTTTTTGAGTTGGAGTTTCGCTCTTGTTACCCAGGCTGGAGTGCAATGGCGCGATCTCAGCTCACCGCAACCTCCGCCTCCTGGGTTCAGGCAATTCTCCTGCCTCAGCCTCCTGAGTAGCTGGGATTACAGGCACGTGCCACCGTGCCCAGCTAATTTTTTCTATTTTTAGTAGAGACAGGGTTTCACCATGTTGGCCAGGATGGTCTCGATCTCTTGACCTCGTGATCCGCCCGGCTCGGCCTCCCAAAGTGCTGGGATTACAGGCTTGAGCCACCACGCCCGGCCTTTTAATTTTTTTTATTATTCATTTATTTATTTTTAAGATGGGGTTTCACCATGATGGCCAGGCTGGTCTTGAACTCCTGACCTCAGCCTCCCAAAGTGCTAGGATTACAGGCGTGAGCCACAGTGTCCAGCTAAGAGCCATTCTTAACTGTGAATTTGCATCTCTCTCTTCCAGAGGGTTTCTTAGGCACACCAGGGGAGAGAGGCCACAGTGTTTAGTGTCCTTCAGGTCATCAAAAGCCATTCCATGGGGAAAGAGTGGGTGAAGAGCTTAGAGACGGCAGAAAACTGAAGGGTATGCCTCTTTCCATCAGCCTTGAGATTTCTTGGCTGGAAAATAGACGCTTACTGTGATAAGGAAACCCTACCTCCAAAATGTTCTGCCACGTCATTCTCCATAGTTCCCTGACAGTTGCTGGTACCTAAAACTCTTCCCAGTCAAAGGCCATGCAGAATTGTCAGGAAGTGCTGGCCACAGCAGCTGAGATTGCATCGCCTAACCTCTGGGCCTCATCTGTGAAACAGAGATTTGAATGCACTTACCTCACCTGCTTGTTGTGACAATTTAATGAGTTACACATAAAACATGCATAAGACTGTCTGGTCTCTGCTCAGAAAGCACAGGTTCTGAGCCGGGTGGAGTCTGTAATCCCAGTGCTTTAGGAGGCTGAAGTGGGAGGATTGCTTGAGCCCAGGAGTTCAAGACCTGCCTGGGAAACATAGTGAGACACCCCACTCCAGCCCCACTGGGGAGGCTGGGGCAACAGGATCTCTTGAGTCTGGGAGGTCAAGGCTGCAGTGAACCACGATTGTGCCACTGCACTCCAGCCTGGGTGACAGAGTAAGACCCTGCCTCATAAATAAATACCTAAATAAATAAGGCCAGATCTGGTGGTTTATGCCTGTAATCCCTGCACTTTGGGAGGCTGAGGCAGCCGCCTCAGGATCACCCGAGGTCAGGAGTTCGAGACCAGCCTGACCATTATGGTGAAACCCCATCTTTAAAAAAATAATAATAATTTTAAAAAAAAGGAATGACCTTAAGGCAAGATGCTTTAAGCCCTCTGTCATGCCAGTGTAAGGGCTGCTGGAGGGCTCCTCAACTGTGCGGCAGCGCCGGCGCTGGGAAAGCGCCTGCTATTTAGCCAGCTAGGGAAGGAGACGACCAAGATGGCCGAGACGTCTCCTTCCTCGGGGGAGTTAGGAGAAAACTCCGTTCCTCCAAGCTCTTGCGGTAGGCCTGACACTGTCAGGGAGGCCCGCAGACATCTGGGGACTTAACTCTCTCTATGTGATGCTGTCCTTCAGTGGTCACGCTCCCTGTCCACTCATGCTCTGCTTCTGCACCTGGTTCCCCTTTTCTTAGAAGAGATAATCAGTAAAATAATATAAATCTTAATGTCTTTGCTCTTTCCTAACAAGATGGAAAGTGACCTCAGGTGACTCACCCACCTCCACCTCCCAAAGTGCTAGGATTACAGGCCTAAGCCACCACGCCCAGCCAGGGTCATTCCTTTCACAGTGTCACTCCAGGTTCACACTTCACAACCTGAATGGCATTAGTAAAAAAAACTATGATCACCTATGAATAACTAAGATCTCCTATGAATAACTAAGATCGCCTATGAGTAACTAAGATCTCCTATGAGTAACTAAGATCTCCTATGAGTAACTAAGATCTCCTATGAGTAACTAAGATCTCCTATGAGTAACTAAGATCTCCTATGAGTAACTAAGATCTCCTATGAGTAACTAAGATCTCCTATGAGTAACTAAGATCTCCTATGAGTAACTAAGATCTCCTATGAGTAACTAAGATCTCCTATGAGTAACTAAGATCTCCTATGAGTAACTAAGATCTCCTATGAGTAACTAAGATCTCCTATGAGTAACTAAGATCTCCTATGAGTAACTAAGATCTCCTATGAGTAACTAAGATCTCCTATGAGTAACTAAGATCTCCTATGAGTAACTAAGATCTCCTATGAATAACTAAGATCTCCTATGAATAACTAATAACTACTACGGTTATGTTTCTAGTTACTTTCTTCTTCATTATATGCAAATAGGCTGAGGCTTCTAGCTCCTGCCTCAGCATTTATAGGGTCTTCCCTCTACAGGCTTGGTGGAACATGCCTGTAATCCCAGCTACTTGGGAGGCTGAGGCAGGAGAATCACTTGAACCTGAGACGTGGAGGTTGCAGTGAGCCGGGATCCCACCACTGCACTCCAGCCTGGGCAACAAGAGCAAAACTCTGTCTCAAAAACCAAAACCAAAACAAATAAATAAATAAATGAATAAATACGAAAGCAGGGACTCCGAAATGTGAGTCTGGCTGTTGCAAATGTGTTATCGTAGAACTCTGCTGGAGGGCAGTTGCTTCTGTTCAGCCCCGGGGTGATGCTTTATTGACATGTTTTGGGGAGATGGGGGAGAGCAGGAGGGCAGTGGGGAGGTGAGGAATGGGGCCACTTTGTAAACCATCTTCCGACCTCATTCCTCTAGCCTAAGTGGGAACCACGGGAGATACCCTGGCAGCAGAAAAGCAGGATGGCACCCTAGGTGGCATTATTAATTTTGTTTGTTTGTTTTGAGATGAAGTTTTGCTCTTGTTCCCTAGGCTGGAGTTCAGTGGTGAGATCTTGGCTCACTGCAACCTCTGCCTCCCGGGTTTAAGCAATTCTCCTGCCTCAGCCTCTGGAGTAGCTGGGATTACAGGCATGTGCCACCACGCCTGGGTCATTTTTGTTTTTAGTAGTGAAAGGGTTTCTCCATGTGGGTCAGGCTGGTCTCAAACTCCTGACCTCAGGTCATCCACCCACCTAGGTCTCCCAAAGTGCAGGGATTACTGGCATGAGCCACCGTGTCCGGCCTTGTAGGTGGCATTATTTTGGACATGGCAGAGGAGCAAGGTCACAGGTTGTACTCAGTCCGAAGGTGCCCCTGCTTCCTCTTGTGCCCACCCACCTGGCTGCCAGAGGGCACTGCTCAGAAAAAACCTGATTGTCTCTGCATGAAACTCTCAGAATCAAATGCACACCTCCTGTCCTCCATATCCTTTCAAGATACGATGTAATCCGGTTCTGACTTCACCTTTCTGCCCCCTCCTCCCTCTCTCTCTCACAGCAGCCTCCTCACTGTTTCTTCCCAGGGCCCTGGCACTTCCTGCTCCCTCTGCCTAGAATGCTGCTCCCAGCTCTTTTGATTGACTCTTTCTCATTGTCCAGGTTCTGGTTCAAATGCCACCTCCTCAGAAGGGCCTGTCTGCCCACCTCTCTGTTTGTTTTTTGAGACAGAGTCTAGCACTATCACCCATGCTGGAGTGCAGTGTCGCAGTCTCGGCTCACTGCAACCTCTGCCTCCTGGGTTGATGGGATTCTCCTGTCTCCACTTCCCGAGTAGCTGGGATTACAGGCACACACCACCACATCTGGCTAATTTTTTGCAATTTTTTTTAGAAATGGGGTTTCACTATATTGGCCAGACTAGTGTTGAACTCCTGACCTTGTGATCCGCCTCCCAAACTGCTGGGATTACAAGCCTGAGCCACCACACTCAGCCTTGACCTCTAAAGGAGCCTGTGAATCCCACTCCCTATCCCATGCCTCTGGTTTGCCGTTTGTTTCTTCATGACAGTTACCCATTTTATCCTATTTGTTCAATGCCAGGTCCTTCACTAGGTGGTAATCTCAACAGGGCAGCACCTTCTCTGTCTTGGTGCCTAGAACAGTGCCTGGCACACAATAGGTACTCAGTAAACATTTGTGAAATGAATATGAAAAGTTAATAAAGATGAGCCCCTGGAAAGGTGATCGCTGTGCTCAGGAAGCTGAGTCTGCCACTGCATAAAGACAAGAAAACATCTCAAATCTATCAACATTTTCCAAGGGCCCTGACTTGGGGCTTGAGCAAACCCTAAGATGGAAGCAGAAGGAGCAGTTCCTGGCCCCAGAAGTTGATAATCTTATTCTGAGAAACTGTTACATAAACCAAACACTTCGCAGCAGGGGTGCAAGAAATGGATGAACACTTCCGCATGTGAGCACCGCCTTTTTCTTGCTTTCCTGTGACTGTGTGACATGCAGCAAAGCCACAGACAACCACAGAACTGAGTCCCATTCACCTGCTGGGTTTATTCTTCTAGGAAGGGTGAAGAAAAATACAAATGAACACTAAAAGTTGTCATTAGCCTCCCCGTCGGGGAATCGAACCCCGGTCTCCCGCGTGACAGGCGGGGATACTCACCACTATACTAACGAGGAGTGGCCTTGATGGAGTCTTTTCAAGGGACTCCCTTAAGGTAAATGTAGCTTTCGCTAAACAACATGTTGCAGAGAATTAAATATCCTACATTTCCCACAAAACAACTAGTCCAACTTGACTTCATGCCGTTTTAAGGCGATCATCTCCTGCTCGGTCTTCGATTTTGCTGTGAGAGTTCAGAAAACAGACAGTAAAAAACAGGAAAAAAATGAACAGACAGGCATCAACAAACATGAACAGAGATTAGAGAATGCGAATTTGAGACAGAAAGGAGGAGAAGACGGGAAAAACTTGACCTTAGCTGATTTACCCAAACCGGAAGTGGTGGGGAAATTTCCTTTTCCTCCAGCTCCTCGGGGCTTTCTTAAATATAAAAAGTGAAAGCTCTTTATTAATTGGAAAAAATCGGCTTCATTTATGTACTTTCTTTTTGGTTTTGGCCTAGGAAAAAGGGAAAAGTAGAACTGCCGAAACCCGGGATCGAACCAGGGACCTTTAGATCTTCAGTCTAACGCTCTCCCAACTGAGCTATTTCGGCAGCTGTTTCAGCTGAGCTGCGCTTTTATCCTCCTGGTTGTTTTGCCGCCCCGGGTCTTCTGCCCACCTGAAGCTGAAGCTGGGAATGCAGGTTCACCAGGGCCCGCGTGTGGTGGCCTCTGTCTGCCAAGGCCACCACCTCCGAGAAGCCTTCTCTGATCACATCTCCTGACAAGACCCAGCCCTTACTGTTTATTGTTAGCTTTACTGTTTTCCTTGTTGACTGACCGACTGAATGAATGAATGAATCCTATCAAGCTCAGAGCTCGGCTTTCTCAAGCCCCCTTCTCTGCACAAAGGAAAAAGGTCACTCCCTGGGCGCAGCTCGAGGCGTGCCAGGGATGCCAACCCCACCAGGCCTGCGGGAGGACGTGTCATTTGGAACGCAGTGTTCCTCGGGCCAGGAGTGACTCAGATCCGGCCTCTGAGCGTGGCCTCCATGCTTGTGCGCACCTGCTCAGCTTCCCGGCAGGAAGACGTCAACAGGTCGGCAACTAGGCTGGGCTCTTCGCTTTGGGAAGTGGGCGGTGGGACGGTGCAGCTGTCATCCGGGAGAGAATGAGGAAGTGCAGAGGTGCCTCATGACCTGAAGTCATTCAGTAAGTGTTCACCGAGCACTTAGTGACCGTTTGACCCATCAACGAATACAATCACAGGCAAGCTGCGGTGGCTCAGGCTAGAATGCCAGAGCTTTGGGAGCCTCCTTCTTCTGCGAATCCCAGGTAGAAGAAGAATCGCTTGTGGGTAGGGGTTCGAGACCAGCCTAGGCAAAATAGTGAGCTCCCCATCTCTACCCCCACCCCTGGGCCAAAAAAAGCCAAATACACTAACAAAATAAGTCCATATAATAGAAAACGCTAAGAAGAAAAATAAATACCTGCACCGTGGGGTCAGCAAGAGAAGGGAAGATCGAACAAGACTGAAGAGCCAGCCATGGGAAGACCTGGAGGAAGAGCATCCCAGGTGGAGGGAACAGCTAGTCCAAAGATCCTGAGGTTGAAACAAGCTTGGCTTGTTGGAGGGACAAAAAAAAGTCGTGATGGAAGAGGTAGAGAGGAGGAAAGAAAACAGGAAGGTCTGAGTGGTGGACAGAGACTAGATCTTGCCATCTTTGGAGGCACAGGAGAGGAGCCTGGATGCTCTGGGTCTTGGAAAGCCATGGGGGAGTGAGACGATTGACATCTGCAAAGTCGCTCTGGCAGGAAGTCCGCAAGGAGGCAGTTGGAGGTGTTGATGAAGGGATGAATTTGAGACAGGCTTCGGAAGGAGGGTGGGAGGATTTGATAGATTTCATATAGGGAATGGGGAAAGGAAGGGGTGAAGGATGACACCCAGCGGCTCTCTGGGCTACTGGATGGATGGTGGACACTTCTTTTTTTGAGACGGAGTTTCGCTCTCGTTACCCAGGCTGGAGTGCAATGGCACGATCTTGGCTCACTGCAACCTCCGCCTCCTGGGTTCAGGCAATTCTCCTGCCTCAGCCTCCTTAGTAGCTGGGATTACAGGCACGCACCACCATGCCCAGCTAATTTTTTTTTTTTTAGTAGAGACGGGGTTTCACCATGTTGACCAGGATGGTCTCGATCTCTTGACCTCGTGATCCACCCGCCTCGGTCTCCCAAAGTGCTGGGATTACAGGTGTGAGCCACCACGCCCGGCCCCGGTGGACACTCTTGCCCGAGGGCAGGTGCCTCAGGGTGAGTAAGGAAATCCAGCCTTCTGTCACAGGCATGTTATGTTTTGACCTGCCCATTAGACTTCCAAATGGAAGCACTGGGTCAGCCAATTTCCTGAACTTCCTGGAGCAAACCAGAGTCCCCTTAAGGGTTCTCAAACCTGGTGTCATGGGCTGAATTCTATCACTCCAAAATGTGTATCTTGAAGCTGTAACACCCAATTCCTCAGAATGTCACCATATTTGGAGACAGGGCCTTTAAAAATGAGATTAAGCTGAAATGAGGTCATTAGCGGAAGCCCTAATCCACTATGAGTGCTGTCCTGGTGAGAGGAGGAGATTATGATTGGGACACAGACACAGGCGCAGGAGGACCACCATGTGAGGACATGGGGGCGGGGGCGTGGGTGGAGAGGTAGCCATTCGAAAGCCCTGGAGAAACCAAGCCTGTCAGCACCTAGGTTTTAGACTTCCAGCCGCCAGAAAAGTGAAAAAATACATTTCTGTATCTCTAGCCCCTGAGCCTATGGTATTTTGTTATGGCAGCCTGAGAAGACTAATACACCTTCCAACCTAACACTCACTGTGGCTGGATTTTCCGGAAGAGTGGAAAGATTTCACATTGCTTCCCTTCTGAGATTCTTCACTCCCTTCCTGTCAAGAATAGAGCCCCTTCTGAAGATCCCTCTGCATAAGTATGGCAAATGGCCTTTGGGGAGCCCAGCATTGCGTATTCATTTCTGGGTATCAGGTCTGGCTAGATCCAGCTCCAAATAGCTAGGCCAGCAATGCAGCACATCCAGCTCCGAGCCTGTGAGAGGAGGAGTGGGATTTAGTGTCCGTCCGGATTTTCAGTTGACAGCAATCCCAAAGCAAGATGTGTGTTTTGCAAATGTGTGTTGCTAAAGGACTTGAGGAGGGAAAACTGGAGTCTCATGACAATTGTTCATTTTTTTTTTTGAAAAGTTAAAAATTCCTTAATTTTTTATTTCTGGTACCACTACCATGGTTTACAGGGCAATATACCTGATGTCATGAAAAGCAAAAGCAAAAGACAAAGCTACAACAGATGAAAGGCCTCAGGAACGTACATGTAATTGACACTACATTGGGTCAGTCAACAGCTGCACTTTTTGCAAACTGAGGCAGTGACAGTCCTGAACGAGAAGGGTTTCCTGTTCAAGCTGCAGTCACTTTTCTGACCATGGATCATCGTCCTTCTGTGGCAGAGTCTTACAGGTCATCTAATGCATTTGGGACGACCGTCTCGAAGTAACCTCAGCTTTCCCGACAGCTCCTCGCTCTCCCTCCTGCTAAGAACTGGAGCCTTGTCTGCTGTTTTTAGAACCTTCTGCCACCACATCCACCACTTCCACCACCAGGTCCATAACCACCGCCATAGGGACTGCCCCTTTTTATGGGTCCATAATTTGATTGCTCTTGTCCACTATAATTTCCAAAATCATTGTAGCTCCCACCACCGCCATAGTTACCACCGCCAAAATTTCCTCCTTCATTGTAACCATCATCTCCTCCACCACCGCCACCAAATCCACTACCTTGGTTTCCATGTCCTGGCCCACCACCACCATAGCCCCCTCTACTACTATAACCGGGACCATTGCCATAGTTACCACCATCACCAAATCCATTATATCCACCATCACCTCCTCCATCACCACCTCTGCTGCCACCACCTCCACCTCCATAACCTCCTCTTCCACCAAAGTTTCCACCGTGGCCAAAATTACCTCCACCACCTCCAAAGTTTCCTCCACGACCCATAAAATTGCCAGATCCGGGAGTTGGGGAGAGATAGCATGGGGAGAAATGCCAGATATAGGTGATGGGGAGGAAGGCAGCACATCACACTGCCATGTGTGTGCCTATGCAACAATCTTGCATGTTCTTCACATGTACCCAAAACCTAACATGCAATAAAAAAAATTTTATCATAGATACAAATGTCACCTGTTTTCTAGAAAAAAATACTAAAGACAACTTAATGGGAAAAAAAATTGCCAGATCTACGTCCACAGCCTCTCTGTGGTCCAGCAGACTGCACCTCTTGTTTAGAAGGGCCCAGTAACAGTGTGGTGTTTCTGAACAACAGTTTTATCAACTGCATCATGATCATCAAAACTTACCAAAGCAATTCCTCTTCTTTTTCCACTCTGCCTGTCTTCCATAACTTCTATGGTTTCAATCTTGCCATACTTTTCAAAGTCGTCTCTCGAATTATACTCTTCTGTATCTTCTGTAATAGCACCAACAAAAATCCTCTTCACTGTTAGATGGGGCCAGGCTTTACAGAATCCGCTCTCGAAACAGCTCACTTTCGTTCCACTACACGCCCATCAGCACACGTCGCCGCATCCGCCTCTTCAACACAAGAATAAGTCACAAAACCAAAGCCCCTGGAACGTTTTGTGGGGAGATCTCTCATTAACACACAATCTGCAAGTGTGCCCATTTCTCAGTGTTCTCTTAAACTGTCATCTGTCGTTCCAAAGCTCCGACCACCATGAAACAGTTTCCTCAACCGCTCTGTTTCCTTTGGATCATGGCCCTCCTCCCGCCGGCGGCCATGGCGATGGCCAGTCAGCGGTTTTACCTCCACTTTGAGACCGGACTCGCCTCTTCCAACTCGAGCTCAGTATCAATTGTTATTATTATTTTTAATAGCGACAGGGTCTCGCTATGTTGCCCAGGCTGGAGTGCAGTTGCTGTTCACAGGCACGATCCCACTACTCATCAGCACAGGAGTTTTGACCTGCTCCGTTTCCAACCTGGGCCGGTTCACCCCTCCTTGGGCAACCTGGTGGTCCCCCCGCACTTGGGAGGTCACCATATTGATGCTGAACTTAGTGTGGACACCCGATCGGCATAGCACACTACAGCCCAGAACTCCTGGGCTCAAGCGATCCTCCCACCTCAGCCTCCCAAGTAGCTGGGACTACAGGCACGTGCCACCGTGCCCTGCTATTTGTTAATGATTTTTAAACTACTTACTCACTTTGTTCCCCATAGCATTTTCTCAAATCATTCAGTTCATAAAACCAATCTCCTATTTTTCTCACTTTATAATGTATCAGCTCCATACCTTGCATATAGAAGGCTGTCAATGAATATTTCTTGGATAAACAGGTTGCTGGGTCTTAATTAATTATTTAATGTCTCCTAAGGCTTCCGTAACAGATCACCACAAACTGAGTGGCTTAAAACAAGAGACATTCCCCATCTTAAAAAAAAAAAATTTAAGGCCGGGTGCTGTGGCTCATGCCTGTAATCCTAGCACTTTGGGAGGCCGAGGTGGGTGGATCACCTGAGGGTCAGGAGTTCAAGACCAGCCTGGCCATCATGGTGAAACCCCATCTTAAAAAAAAAAACCAGAAATTAATTCTCTCCCAGTTCTGAAGACCAGAGCCCAAAGTCAAGGGGTCAGCAGTGCTTGCTCCTTCTGGAGGCTCTGAGGGAGAAACTGTCCCATGCCACCACCCACCCCCAGCTCTGGCAGTGGCCTCAGTGTACTTTCTCATGTAATTTCATCACCGCACTCTCTGCTGTCTTGTTCACATGCCTTCCTCTCCATGCCTCTGTGTACTTTCCCCTTTTGTTGTTATTTTTTTTTGTAGAAATGGGAATCTCACTATGCTGCCCAGGGTCAAGCCATCCTCCCACCTCAGCCTCCAAAAGTGCTGGGATTACAGGTGTCAGCTACCACAGTGACCTGCTGTTTCCTTTTCTGTCTCTTATAAGGACACACGTCACAGCATTTAGGATCCACCCTAATCCGGGATCATCTCATCTTGAGCTCTTTACCTTAATTACCTCTTCAAAGACCCTTGGATTCCAAGTAAGGTCAACTTTTGAGGTTCTGGGCAGACACAGCTCATAGAGGATCACTATTCATCCCACTACAATTACCCATCACAGCTGGGCGCGGTGGCTCACGCCTGTTATCCCAGCACTTTGGGAGGCTGAGGCGGGCAGATCACCTGAGGTTGTGAGTTCGAGACCAGCCTGACCAACATGGAGAAACCCCTTCTCTACTAAAAATACAAAGTTAGCCAGGCGTGGTGGTGCATACCTGTAATTCCGGGTACTCGGGAGACTGAGGCAGGAGAATCGTTTGAACCCAGGAGGCAGAAGTTGTAGTGCACTTCACCCCAGGCAGCAGTGCAAGATTCTGTCTCAAAAAAAAAAAAAAAGGCTGGGTGTGGTGGCTCATGCCTATAATCCCAGCACTTTGGGAGGCTGAGGCGGGTGGATCATGAGGTCAAGATGATCGAGACCATCCTGGTCAACAACGTGAAACCCCGTCTCTACTAAAAAAATACAAATATTAGCTGGGCGTGGTGGTGCGTGCCTGTAGTCCCAGCTACTTGGGAGGCTGAGGCAGGAGAATTGCTTGAACCCAGGAGGTGGAGATTGCAGTGAGCCGAGATCGCGCCATTGCACTCCAGTCTGGGTAACAACATGATACCATGCCCAGCCCATCATGTCGTTTTAAAAAATATGAAGTACAAGGTTTAAAAAATTGTAATAGAGCCGGGCGTGGTGGCTCACGCCTGTAATCCCAGCACTTTGGGAGGCCGAGGCGGGTGGATCACGAGGTCAAGAGATCGAGACCATCCTGGTCAACATGGTGAAACCCCGTCTCTACTAAAAATACAAAAATTAGCTGGGCACGGTGGTGCGCGCCTGTAGTCCCAGTTACTTGAATGCTGAGGCAGGTTCCTGCTTGAACCCAGGAGGCGGAGGTTGTGGTGAGCCGAGGTCACGCCATTGTACTCCAGCCTGGGTAACAAGAGCAAAACACCGTCTCAAAAAAAAAAAAAAAAAAATTGTAATAGAGAGGCCAGGTGCAGTGGCTCACACTTTGGGAGGTGGCGCACGACTGTAATCCCAGCTGCTCGGGAGGCTGAGGCAGAAGAATTGCTTGAACCCAGGAGGTGGAGGCTGTGGTGAGCCGAGATCACGCCATTGCACTCCAGCCTGGGTAACAAAAGCGAAACTCCCATCTCAAAAACAACAAAAAATTGTAATAGATGAAAAACAAGGGTCGATATCGGAGGACTCCTACTGTTTTTCTTTAAAGCATATTAGTTGTATCTGACTTTTAAAAACTAGGTATATCATTTTTATAAAAACCGAATAAGAAAGGAAAGAAAAGAAAGCAGAGAAAAATAGAATTCCAAAAGTCCAGAAAGGTACAGACTTGGAGAGTCAAGAGTCACTCCCACCTGCCACCCTAGTCCCAAAGGCCCCTATGTCTACAGCGACTGTGACTGATGTGACCTTGGGTGAGTCACGGAGCCTCTGTCCGTGCCTGTAGTTTTCAGTCTGATGTGGAGAAAACCTTGGTAGGATGGTTGAGGATGCAGTGTGAACACTACAGCACTTACCCATACTCCCGCACATGTTAAGAGCTGTATATTGTTGGCAGTTGCTGAGGCTCTTTTTACCATGATGCCAACCAGAAACATGAATATACCCACATATTTGTGTGCATATATAACATTTTTTTGACACAGAAATGAACCTACTGTGCACACTGCTGAGCCCTCCCTTTTTTCTGCCTCGCAGCTCTCCTGTGAGGGCAGGGCATCCTTGGAAGGGCCGTAATTCAGTGTTACAGGCACACCTGTGTGGCGCACATCCTCGTGTACCTACTCAGTATATTTTGAAACACTGAAAATCATCGCCAGCAAGGTCTCCCGTGTTTAAAAAAGAAAAGAAAAAAAGAAGTCTTTGGTCTCCCCGTCGGGGAATCGAACCCCGGTCTCCCGCGTGACAGGCGGGGATACTCACCACTATACTAACGAGGACAAACCTTACTCATCTTTCTCCAGCTGAGTTCCTATGTCAGCGGGGTTCTCCCGCTGTAGTTCCTACCGTCTCCGGGCCACCCAGGCTTGGCGCTGGGCGCCCTGGCTGCTGGGCTTTCCTGGAGCAGGCAGAAGGTCCCTTGAGTGGCTGGAGACACTGCACGTCCGGAAGCTAAAGCACCTGAACTAACAGCATGAAGGGCACTTCCTGTATCACCATTCCCAGGAAGGAGCCTTGTCAACGAGGGGATGTAGCTCAGTGGTAGAGCGCATGCTTTGCATGTATGAGGCCCCGGGTTCAATCCCCGGCATCTCCACACTTTTCTTTTCGTCTTTTTCTTGCAAATCAGTCAGGCATAACCCTGACAGCCCCATCAACTTGCCTGGGAAGAAAGCTCACTTGAAGGAGCTGCACCAGCGCAAGTCCCTTCCTCCAGTCAAAAATTCCCTGGGCCACTCCACCAGAGATCCGCATTCAGGTCGGCGACGGGGCCCGGGAATCTGCCATTTAAAATGAACAGCTTCCAGTTACTAGTTTCATAAAGTAGAAAAACACTGGATTCCTAAGAAAGGTTCTGCAGCTGACCATTCATTAACTCTTGAGCACCTCATGTTAAGTTCTGTGCATGCACTGAGCACTTACTGTGTGCTGGGTAAAGTGTACATGTCCTGGTATCCCTGGGTAAGGCAGGCCAGGCAAGCTTTCTCAGCCTTCTTGGACTATATTCCAGTCTTGGAGACTAACAATAAGCAAGTAGTGATATGTTGTTTTTTTGAGACTGTCACCCAGGCTGGAGTGCAATAGCACGATCTCAGCTCATTGCAACTTCCGCCTCCCGGGCGTTTCTCCCGCCTCAGTAGCTGAGATTACAGGCATGCGACATCTTGCCCGGCTAATTTTTATATTTTAGTAGAGATGTGTTTCACCATGTTGGCCAGGCTGGTCTTGAACTCCTGACCTCAGGTGATCCGCCTGCTTCAGCCTCCCAAAGTGCTGGGATTACAGGCATGAGCCACTGTGCCCGGCCCTAGCAAGTAGCGATACGTTTTATGAAGACAACAGCGATGAGGTGGAAACTCAGGGGTGCATGGGTAGGGGCTGCTTCAGATAAGCCGCCAGGGACGACCCCTGCAGAAACAGTGCGTCAAGCGGAGGAAGCGGCAGGTGCCAAGGTCCTGAGGTTGCAGGAAGGGCGCTCCGTGTTAAGGGGCAAGGAGAAAGCCCCGTCCCGGAGCTTAGTGAATAAGGATGAACTTTATTTTGGAAGACGCTGGAAGGCATCTGGGGAACCTGACACTGGGGAACCGAACCAGATTCAGGTTTGCAAAGGCTCCCTCTGGCTGCCATGCGGAGAATACACCCTGGGCGTGGGTGGGAGTGGGGAGACCGGGAAGGAGGGGCAACCACCGCTCAGGGAGCTGCTGGAGTCTCCCTCCAGGGATGCAGAGAGGAGGTGCCAGCGTGATGGAGTTCAGGACAAATTCTGGACGTGGCTGCATGATTTCCTAACGTAGGGGCAGCACGCTTTATTTCACCGTTGCTCCTAGTGAGTCGGGAAATTTGGTTTCCTCTCACTGAAGTGTTTAACTGCACATGAATTTTCCTTGCTTTCTGGTGCTGGTCCCGATGGGGCAGATTTCCATATGGAGCAACGTAGGGTCAAAGGGCATGGATGCTTTAAATACGCACTTCTCTGCTGCGCAGACTGGAATACAGTGGTGCAATCATAGCTCACTGCAGCTTCAAACTGCTGAGCTCAAGCAATCCTCCCACTTCTGCCTCCCCAGCATCTGGGACTACAGGTATGCTTCACTACCTCCAGCAAGTATTTTTCACTCTTTTTACAGAGACAGGGGTCTCGCTATATTGTTCAGGCTGGTCTCAAACTCCTGGCCTCAAGTGATCCTCTCATCTCAGCCCTCCAGAGTGCTGGGATTACGGGTGGAAACCACCATGCCTGGTTTGTTTTAAATATTGCTAGATTTGGGGCCAGGTGCAGTGGGCCACACTTGTAATCCCTGCACTTTGGGAGGCCAAGGTGGGTGCATCACCTGAAGTCAGGGGTTTAGAGACCAGCCTGGCCAACATGGTGAAACCTCTTCTCTACTAAAAATACAAAAAGTTAGTTGGGTGTGGTGGTACACACTTGTAGTCCCAGCTATGCAGGAGGCTGAGGCAGAAGAATCGCTTTAAACCTGGAGGCAGAGGTTGCAGTGAGCCGAGAAAGCACCACTGTACTCCAGCCTGGGCAACAGAGCAAGACTCCATCTCAGAAAAAGTAAATAAAAAAAAAATTTTTTTTAAAGGCTATGGCAACTTACATATTCAGTAACAATGTATGAAGGTGCCCCTTTCCTTATATTCTCATCAGCATTTCCCCACTCTATTGGGAAAGAAGTAGAACTGAATTATTTGCTTTTTTCCTGCCCACTTTCTGGGTGAGCATGTTTTCAGGTATCTACCAGCAATGTGGATGCAGTTTTGTTTTTTTTTTCGAGATGGGACACTTACTCAGACACCCAAGCTGGACTGCAGTGTCACGATCTCAAGTCACCACAACTTCTACTTCCTGGGTTCAAATGATTCTCATTTGAACCTCGAGTAGTTGGTATTACAGGTACGCGCCACCATGCCCGGATAATTTTATATTTTTTATTCAAGATGGTGTTTTGCCATTTGACCAGGCTGGTCTCAAACTCCTGGCATCAGGTGATCCACCTGCCTCAGCCTCCCAAAGTGCTGGGATTATAGGCATGAGCCACTGCACTCGGCCTTAGATGTAGTTTTTCAGTAGAGATGGGGTTTCACCATGTTGGTCAGGCTAGTCTCGAACTCCTGACCTCACTTCTTCATGGCCTTTGCCCTTTGTGTTTTTCTCGCCAAATTGCAATAGGTCATCCAATAGTATGATGCTGTTTGTCGTGTTTTGCAGTATCTTTCATCTTCGTTTATACAATTTAACATGTCGATCTAAGATTTTGATAAAATGTCTTCCCTTTCCTTCATAGTTTCTAGGATGTTTAACTTTGTTTTTGTTTGTTTTGCTTTGTTTTTTGAGAGAGACGGGGTCTCACTCTGTCTCCCAGGCTGGAATGCAATGGTGTGATCTTGGCTCCCTGGGCTCTTGCCGTGGAAGATGGAAGGACAGGGGCCTCCCCACTCCCTGGTCCTGCCTGGGGCACTCCTGTCGTTCCTTCTTGCAGGAGGACCTACCCCATGCTCTCCCTTCCACCTTGGCCACAGAGGAACAAGGGAGGCACACGGAGGGGTCTGCAGGCCCCATTCAAGGCTCCTCCTCTGCGGCATGGCAGCGGGGCCTGAGCAAGGCCAAGATCAGCTCTGCTCCCTGCCATCTGAGAGCTGACCACGAGGAGATGAGATGCCCACTCCCTGCAGCTGCAGCACAGGAAAGGAGCTGGCAGCCACCCTTCCACGAAGGCATGGGGCCTAGGAGTCCCCGGCCAGCCCCTTCAAGATGAAAGCAGAGCTCAGAGGCTCACATAATGTCTGGGATGGCTCTGAGGCCCCGGCTAGGCGGCCCTCCCTGATGCCAGAGAGGGAAGAAAGGCAGGAAGGACACGCCCTCCACTTGCCTCCTCGGCTCTCTGGCAGGGTGGGCGGGGACTACAGGGGTCTCCAGCCCTACCGTTCCACAGGGACTAACGTAGTCCAAAGAGCACATTGAACAGAACAGCGTCCAGTACGTGAGATGAAATCATCATCTGCAGAACTGACAATTCAAAAGTCACGCAGGTGAGACGGCACGGTCAGTAGCAAGCTTCATACAGGATGGAGCTGAGATGGACGGGGATTCCCAGGGCTTGACCTGCTTCCTGAGAGCAGGCCATGGAGCCCATGCCAGGCAGTCACAGTTGCAGGGTGACGAGCTGCTGCCGGCCCTCCAGGCCCCAAACCAGTCCTCAGCCCTGCAGCCAGGTGTCTGGTCAGTGGTCAGTGGTGGGGGGCCAGGCTTTCTCCACGTTGGGGTGCATGGCCTGTGGAAGCCACTCGCAGTACTCGGCCAGCAGGTCTGCAGGGGGAAGGAGGACAGCGTCAGAGTGACCTGGGTCCAGGGACTCTCCTGAGGTGGCAGGAAGCCGGCCAGCAGTGGTGGGGCCAGATCCTCCCACCAAGCCAGGGCTCACCAGGCACAAAGCTCAAGGCCTGCCTCGGCGACCCCGTCCCGTCCACTCCTACCCCCTGGCCCTGGTCAAACTTACATTTGGGGTTTTTCTTCCAAGCAGCCAGCAAGGCTTCACGGCAGTCAGCCTTCTCTGCAACCAGGGCCCGCAGGAGGCTCTCCGTCCGGGGCTGTAGCCTGTGGGGCAGGAGGCAGGTTGGTGGCAGGCGGCCGGGACACAGACTGTCTGCTGCTGGGGTCGGAAAGCAGGGCAGGCATCACCCCACCACCAGCTCCGCCCAGGAGCGTGTGGTGACGCACACCTGTATCCCCAATTACTTGGGAGGCTGAAGTTGGAGGATCCCTTGAACCTGGGAGTTGGAGGCTGCAGTGAGCCATGATTGCATCACTGCACTCCAGCCTGGGTGACAGAACCAGACCCTGACTCAAAAACAAACTGGCTTGGCACGGTGGCTCAAGCCTGTAATCCCAGCACTTTGGTAGGCCGAGGCAGGCAGCTCACCTGAGGACAGGAGTTCAAGAACAGCCTGGCCAACATGGCGAAACCCCATCTTTATTAAAAATACAAAAAAAAAAATTAGCCAGGTGTGGTGGTGTGCACCTGTAGTCCCATCTATTTGAGAGGCTGAGGCAGGAGAATCCCTTGAACCCAGGAGGCAGAGGCTGCAGTGAGCCGAGATCACACCGTTGCACTCCAGCCTGGGCAACAAGAGTGAAACTCTGCCCCAAACAAATGAAACTCAAAAGCAAAAAAACACAATTCTCTAGACAGGCCTAAAAAATAAACAACAAAATAAAAGAGAAGGTGAAGGGTCCCTTTCCTCTAATTATCCCAGAACAGAAGACCCTTGATCCCATCTCCTCCCATCCACTCTGGCCGCCTCTGGTCCACATTCCTTGCCCACCAAGGCTGCTCAGTGCATGCAAAATGTCCCGTCTAGAACCTGCCTCCACATCTGTGCCTGGCTCTGCCCTGCCTCCTCTGAATCTGCCCATATCTGTGCCCAGCTCCAACCCTGCCTCCTCTGAGTCTGGGCAGGCTCTCCCTGCCCAGCCCAGTCGCACTCCACCCCCTGCCCACTGAGGCCTTACCTGTGTCCTGCCGTGGCACATGGATGGTGCCAGGATCCCAGCCCCAAGAACCTAGCCAGCACAGGGTCATACAGGGAAACGTGCCCTGGTGACTGACGTGGCTCCTGACAGCCCAGTCCCTGTGCCCCAAACCCCTGCACCAGAGGCTCTGCCAGCCCCAGGACAAGGGGAGTGTCTGTGGGTCTGGGCCACAGGCAGGAGAGCAGAAGCAGGAGGCGGAGGGCAGGGATGAGCCCTGGAGCAGAGGTGGTGGGTGGGGAGGGGCAGGGCAGGTCTGTACTCAGCTGGGAGGAGGCCCCCAGGGCCAGGAGGGCAGGATGCCTGCCACTGATACCTGGCGGTCTGTGGGAGCTGCCCAGTATCTCCCTTCCCCTGAGTTCATCCTGGATAGGCTAGGCCCTGAATCCAAGGACTGTTATCCTTATAAGGAGAGAGCACAGAGAGGGACCCAGACACACACAGAGACATGGCCACATGCAGATGGAGGCAGGGATGAGAGTGATTCGGCCACAAGCATGGGAGGCCAGCAGAGACAGAGGGACCCGCCTCGAGCGAGAGCTGCTGCACACCCGTGTGTGGCCCTTTGTCCCAGCTGCCCTGGGGAAGTCATCCAGGCCCCCAACCCCTCCTGCCCACCGTGAGGCTCCCACAAAGGCTGTACCTGGCCCATGTCTTCAGCATGGTGCTGGGGCTAGACAGCAGACAGCCCTGGTATGAGGCCAGCTTGCAGAAGACCTGGCAAGAGACCACAGGAAGGGGTGGGCCCTGGGCTGCCCCCTGCCCACAGTACCGAGACGAGGGCCAGGGGCCGCTGTGCCACCTACCTGCCCTTCCAGCAGGAACCGGGCAAAGTGCTTGTAGCGGTCAATGCCCTCTGGAAAGTCTACCTCGATGGCGGGGAGTGGCCAGCCCACGCGATCTGGAGGGCAGGAGCCAGTGAGCCAGGGACCCTTCTGCAGCGGTCTTCCCAAGTCCCATCCCTGACCCACCCGAGACACACACGTCCAGGGACAGGGGATGGGGCCGTGTGTCCAAGAAGCCCAGGGCTGCAGGAGGCTCAGGATGCCCAGGATGTTGCCCCAACTCACAGAACACGCTGGCACGGTGACATAGCACCCGCCCCCGCTCAGGGCAGTAGGTTGGGGCTGGCTCCTCCAGAGGCTTGTCGAATTGGCAGTAAGAGGGCAGCAGGGCCGGGATCCACTGGACCTCCACGCTGGAGACGCCTGGGGGCCGGGGGAGGAGGCTGGGATCACAGTGGCACCCTCCATGGGAGGGGCTCCTATGCCTCCACTCCAGGGTCCCAGCCACAGGCCCATCAGAGCCACCGTGAAGGGATGAAGGGCTGTCTGCAGGCCTCAGTACCTTTCATGTACATCTTGGTGGTCTCCACGATTTCCTGGTAGACTACAAACTCGGGGAGCTCTTTGAAAAGGACAGAGCTGGGGTGGATGAAGACGGGGTCATCGAGGAGAGGGGTCTGCAGAGAATGGAGAGTTATGTGGTCAGTGAGGAACCCAACCCAGGGCTTCCACATGCTCTCAACCCAGGAGAATCTGACTATCCACTCCCAGCCACAAAAGTAGGAGAACGTTCCATCAGCCAGGAAATGCGGCCCATCCACAACACTGCAGTCTGATCCAGCCATAAAAAGAAGGAAGCACTGACTCCCGCCATGGTGTGGCTAGGTTTTGAAAGCATCGCGCCCAGTGAAAGAGGCCAGACGTGAAAGGCCACGTGTGTTAAGATTCCACTTGTGCCAAACGCCCAGAATAGGCAGATCCACAGACAGAAAGCAGGATCATGAAAACGGGGGTGAAGAGGAACCAGGGACCCACAGCTAAGAGGTGTGGGGTTTCTTTGTGGGGTAATGAAAATGTTCTAAAGTTAACTATGGTAATGGTTGCAAAACTCTGTGAAAGTACCAAAACCACTGAATTGAATACTTTGAAAGGGTTCAAATGCAGGCCAGATGCAGTGGGTCACACCTGTAATCCGAACACTTTGGGAGACCACGGTGGGAGGATTGCTAGAGGCCAGGAGTTCAAAGCTAGCCTGGGTAACTGCCTCTAAGCCCAGCATTTTGGGAGGTTAACGCAGGTGGATTACCTCAGGTCAGGGGTTCGAGACCAGCCTGGCCAACATGGTGAAACCCCTTCTCTACTAAAAATACAAAAATTAGCTGGCTGTGGTATCACATGCCTATAATCCCAGCTACTTGGGAGGCTGAGGCAGGAGAATTGCTTGAACCTGGGAGGTGGAGGTTGCAGTGAGCTGAGTTCTTGCCACTGCAGCACTCCAGCCTGGGTGAGAGAGTAAGAGTGTCTCAAAAAACAAAATAACAACAACAACATTAGCCAGGGGTGCTGGTGTGCCCCTGTAGTCCCAACTACTCAGGAGGCTGAGGTGAGATTGTTTGCAACTGGGAGTTGGAGGCTGCACTGAGGAATGATTGTGCCACTGCACTCTAGCCTGGGCAACACAGCAAGATCCTGTCTCTAAAAAAAACAAAAAAACCCAAAAAGAATTTATATGCTGTGTGAATTCTATTTCAATTAAACTGTTATTTAAAAAAAAAAAAAAAAGTTGGGAGTGAGAACTGAACCAAGGAAAATGGGATTCTACTGCCCTACCTGTTCCTTGGTGGGGTATTTCCCAGAGCTTTTGGGGACCCACAGCTGAGAGGGAGGTGTGGGGGGGGCACCTTGTAGGCATTCCTCCACTTGTCCTCTAGCAGCTCCTCGCTCTGTACCCTGCGGGCCAGGTGGTCCCCCAGGCCAGCCGTCACGATCTGTCGCAGGAAGGTCACCTGACTCTCGGTGGGCGGCTGCATCTTGGGATCCACGAAGAGCTCAGCCTCGGGGCACACGGCATTGACTGAGGGGAGAGCCAAGGGTGAGGACGGTGGCAGCAAGGCCCGGGGCCAGCTCTGCTCTGACCTCCTAGAGCATCCCAACCACACTTAGTGATCTGGCCTCAGCCACCTATTCATCCCAGCCACTCCCCAGAGGCCACCAGCAGGACACAAAGCCCCCAGCAGGCAGGACTGCAGCTGGCCCCACCCACTCCTTCTTTCTTGGGACAAAGCCCTAAGTCCTGCCCGGGCAGCAGCGCATTCTGCTCGGAGATGACCCTCCCCAGCACCCAGGCGGCCTCAGACTCAGTCCTGGTCCATGATGTAAAGAAGGGGTTTGCCGATGAAATTCCTGGAAATGGTCAATACAGGAACAGGACAGCTGGCAGGTGCCCTGGTCTCGTCCTTCCCTTCTCCTTCCTTCCTGGAAGGCAGAGGTGACTAAGCCTCCAACTACCTTCTCAGCCCACAAGGTGATCTTAGGATGGAGGCCACAGCGAATGGTGGGAGGATGGCGGCAGAGAAACGCCCTGGGCTGCTGACCCAGTGGCTCCCCTTCCTTGCAACAATAAACATCTAACGTCACCAAGCCACTGTAACCTGTGCTGTCTGCAGGCTGAATATAATTCTGAGCTGCTGCACCTGGGATGGGCTGCTCAAGAAAGCCACAGCCAGAGGGACGCAGAGCACAGTGACAGGGCCACCACCATGCACCTGGGATGGGCTGCTCAGGAAAGCCACAGACAGAGAGACGCAGAGCACAGTGACAGGGCCACCACCATGCACCTGGGATGGGCTGCTCAGGAAAGCCAGACAGAGAGACGCAGAGCACGGTGACAGGGCCACCACCATGTACCTGGGATGGGCTGCTCAGGAAAGCCACAGACAGAGAAACGCAGAGCACGGTGACAGGGCCACCACCATGCACCTGGGATGGGCTGCTCAGGAAAGCCACAGCCAGAGAGACGCAGAGCACGGTGACAGGGCCACCACCATGCACCTGGGATGGGCTGCTCAGGAAAGCCACAGCCAGAGAGACGCAGAGCACGGTGACAGGGCCACCACCATGCACCTGGGATGGGCTGCTCAGGAAAGCCACAGCCAGAGAGACGCAGAGCACGGTGACAGGGCCACCACCATGCACCTGGGATGGGCTGCTCAGGAAAGCCACAGCCAGAGGGACACAGAGCATCTGGCACTGGGAGAAGGACGAGCTGGAAGAGAGCCATCAAGTCTGGCATCAAATCCTGGGATCTGCTTGAACGGAAGGCAAGTTCCCCACTAGCCTTGGGTAAAAGAACATGGCTTGCCTCGAAGAGACCCAGTGTCCACGCTGCCCTCTCTGTGCAGGGTCCTCCTGCCATACATTGGAAGACCCTTCCTCTTAAGCTTCCCTAGGTGCTGGCGGCAGGAAGCATCAGTGCTGCTGAGACAAGCTACAGCGTCCAGGGCAAGGTCTCATCCTTCTGCATGAGAAGGGTCTGGGGATATCTGGGAGGGAAGAGGGCTCTAGGCCAGGGTGGCGATGGAAAATGGCAGGGGGAATCAGGGAAAAGGCAAAACCAAGAGACAGCCTGGTGGTGGAGGGTGCAGGGTGAGGCTCGAATCCGTCAGTGCCCTGCTCGTGTGCGTGTTCCCTCGTGCCTACAAACGCTCCCCAAATATTGGTTTAGGGTTATAAATACATTTTGGTGAGTCGCAAGTTTGCAAACATGGACTCTATGGATCGCTTTGCTCAGAACAAGTTTAAACATTATAAGCACGCAGCTCAGACTGCCCGCCGAGTCCAGGCGTGAGCCGGCGCGGGCTGTACCTGCGGTGGTCAGCTGGCCCCGCAGGCGCCGGATCTCCATCATGGCTTTGTACCGCAGCCCGTTGGCTTCGCAAAACTGGGGTGTGCAGCCAGAGTACTCACAGGCTCCCACGGCGCCTGGGAGACAAAGCGGGGGCATGTTCCCTCCCTGACCCATCCCAGGCCGGGGTGACCCTTCCGACACCCTCCACCGGGCAGGACACAGACCTAGCAGCACCATGAGGTCGCCGAGCTTCAGAGAAGCCCCCTGCCCTGCCCAGGTCCTCTTCATCTGGGCCACCCGGGCCCGCTTGCCCTTCAGCCTGGCGAGCTCCTCGTCACTGGACGCTGGTCTGTAAACACACACACACACACACACACACACACAAATTGTCTGGGCTGTGGCCCCAGCTGCCCTCAGGGCCTCAGTGGCAGGAACACCTCTAATCGCCAGGACAGGCTCAGAAGCCTTGTGGGGTCACCTGTGTGAGCTGGGTCTTTCCTGCCCTTGACACTCCTGGTTCTTTGGTCTTCAGACCCCGACTGAAACTGACGCCACTTTCTGCTTCTCTGGAGAACTCTATTATTCTCCCATGGGATTGTGATGAGTAGCTGGGATTACAGGTGCCACCGCCATGCCCAGCTTTTGTATTTCTAGTAGAGACGGGGTCTAACCGTTTTGGCCAGGCCGATCTCAAATTCCTGACCGCTCATCTGCCTGCTCTGGCCTACCAAGACTGAGATTACAGGAATGAACCACCATGCCCCTGGCAAAAGCTGCTTTTAAAGTTCAAATTCACGGACCCCGAAAAGATACAAGATGCAGAGAAAGCAAGTTGCAGTGTCGGCTGGTCCCATTTCTGCAAGGTAAGTCTCTGTCGGTGCAGAGCGCAGGGAAAGGTCTGGAACCGTGCTCATCAATAGCTGGCCCCTAAGTCTCTGTCGGTGCAGAGCGCAGGGAAAGGTCTGGAACCGTGCTCATCAATAGCTGGCCCCTAAGTCTCTGTCCGTGCAGAGCGCAGGGAAAGGTCTGGAACTGCGCTCATCAATAGCTGGCCCCTAAGTCTCTGTCGGTGCAGAGCGCAGGGAAAGGTCTGGAACCGTGCTCATCAATAGCTGGCCCCTAAGTCTCTGTCCGTGCAGAGCGCAGTGAAAGGTCTGCAACCGCACTCATCAGTAACTGGCCCCTGCTAAGTCTCTGTCGGTGCAGAGCGCAGGGAAAGGTGTGGAACTGCACTCATCAATAGCTGGCCCCTGGCCACATGTGGCTGTTTAAAGTACTTAAAAACAGGTAAGATCTTAAGTCAGTTTGTTACCATAATTGCCACATGGGCCGGGCGCAGCAGCTCACACCTGTAATCCCAGCACTTTGGGAGGCCGAGGCGGGTGGATCACGAGATCAAGAGAGCGAGACCATCCTGGTCAACATGGTGAAACCCCGTCTCTACTAAAGATACAAAAAATTAGCTGGGCATGGTGGCGCGTGCCTGTAATCCTACCTACTCGGGAGGCTGAGGCAGGAGAACTGCCTGAACCCAGGAGGCGGAGGTTGCGGTGAGCAGAAATGGCGCCATTGTACTCCAGCCTGGGTAACAAGAGCGAAACTCCGTCTCAAAAAAAATTGCCACATTTCCCAGGCTCAGGCTGCAGTGTGCAATGGCTCACGTAGTGATGCGGTATAAAGCAAAGTTCCTGGTTAGGGTGGGTTGGGCTGGGTGGGGGCAGGAGGGGGATAAGCAAAGAAAAATCATCCAAATCTGAAGATTCCCCAGTGTCCACCTGATTGCCTCCCCAGCTAGTGTCTGCTCTGTCATCTGACAAGATGATACAAACACAGGCAGACTGACCCCAAGGGAAGCAGCAGACTACACAGAGGCAAAGGCTCATAAAGTCACTGAAGTGATGTCGAGGGCCTGCCTGCACCATTCCGAGTTGATGAGAGATGGTGGCAGCAGAAGCCTGGCTCATAGCTGAGAGAGGGACGGTCAAAACTGATGACGTGGTCAGACACAGTGGCTCACACCTGTAATCCCAACACTTTGGTGTGTGGATCACGAGGTCAGGGAACCGAAACCATCCTGGCCAACATGGTGACCCCAACTCTACTGAAAATACAAAAATTAGCTGGATGTGGTGACAGGCGCCTGTAGTCCCAGCTACTTGGGAGGCTGAGGCAGGAGTATCGCTTGAATCCGGGAGGTGGAGGTTGCAGCAGTGAGCTGAGATTGTGCCACTGCACCCCAGCCTGGTGACAGAGCAAGACTCCGTCTCAAAAAAATAAAAAATAAAGTAATTAAGGTGCAACAGATCTAATAACAAAACACAAAAAAACCTGATGTCGGAAAGGCTGTTTCATGAGGAATGCTGTGAATGCTGAAGACTGACCAAGCCCCTGAGAAACTCAGGTTGCCTCCATAAATTTCTGCAGAAACGACCCCTTTTATCATCCAGCTGCCAGAGGGAGATCTATGCAACAGGATGCCAGGAATTTCTAAAGAATTGTTCATTCTAAGAAGTAGCATGTAGTCATAATCTAAATTTTTCTAGGTATATGTGGGTGTGAAGAAAAAGAAAAGAAGCCAATTTTGTTAAATATATAATGCACTAAACGTACTTTCACAGTCTTAGTGCCACTTTTTCTTCTTTTTGAAAAGGGTCTTACTCTGTCACTCAGGCTGGAGTGCAGTGGCATGATCTCGGCTCACTGCAACCTCTACCTCCTGCGTTCAAGTGATTCTCCCACCTCAGCCTCCTGAGCAGCTGGGATTACAGGTGTGAGCCGCCACACCTGGCCTTACTTAGTGCCACCTTTCAAGGATATTGCTTTTCCCTACTTTGGTCTGTGTTTTAAATGATTTCACTCAAAGTGTCCTTTTTCTGGAATCTATGACCCCCTGATGATGAGTGGAGGACCCCCACCCCACCTCCTAGTCTCACTATTTCACGTGACCTATAAGGGGCAGCAGACAGGGACCACCAAGGCCACTGCAGAGATGAGAATGCAGATGGGTTCAGACAGAACGAGGGTCTTGCAAGAGGCCACCCGACAAGCCGGCAATTCCCCAGGAAGCTGGGGTGCAGGTCACCTCTCAGCCCAGAGCCCCCACTGGGACTAAGCTTGGCCCCGAATGCCCAGCCGCTAACCTCGCACCTGTCCAGCTCCTCAAACAGCTCCCGCACCGTCATGGTGGCCACGATGGTGATGGCGTAGGGCAGGCAGCCGTGTTGCCGGCTCAGTGCCAGCATCTTGGCGTAGCGGGGCGCCACGGGGAAAGTGGCCATGGTCCGACCCAGCGCGGTGATGGGGCAGCTCAGCCGGTCCTTCTGCAGTTGCTTCACCCTGCAGATGGAGGTGGTGATGGTGCTCCGAGAGGAGGTTCTGGAGCCAGAGCCGGAAGGCCCCACGCTTGAGGCGGCTCAGGCCCAGAAAAGGGGGGAGAGGGCCCCACTCGGCGCAGCATGCAGGCATGCTCTTGGACCTACCTTTCTGCTTTCTGGGGCGCCTGCAGGGCACCCAGTGCGATCAACAGCTCCTCGGCAGCAATAAGGGCTTCCACAGAGGGGGGCGTCGGGAAGGGGAAGTTGATGACCTGGGACATGAGGAGACGTGGCAGGGATAGGGTGAGTGCTGAGAAGCAGGTCCAGTGCTCCTGTTCTGTCTGCGGCAGGTGCTCCCTCCACCCCGCTCTGGGCTCAGCTCATGCCAGCAGGGACACAGAGGCCTGGGGCCAAGGGAACTCACATCATCCACTCACTCAAAAACACGTCCCAAGCACTGGCGAGGCCCTGGGGGCTGTGCTTTGCGCCGCTGGGTGCTTTTTCTGGCTTTTGTTTTTAAACGTACTGTTACACTCATGAGGACTGAGTGGCATTTGACCAGGAGGGGCTGCAGGTAGTCAGTGAGGCATCATGTGAATAAATTGGCCAGGTGTGGTGGCTCACACCTGTAATCCCAGCACTTTGGGAGGCCGAGACGGGTGGATCACCTGAGGTCAGGAGTTTGAGACCAGCCTGCCCACTATGGTGAAACCCCATCTCTACTAAAAATACAAAAATTAGCCGGGTGTGGTGGCACTTGCCTGTGGTCCCAGCTACTTGGGAGGCTGTGACAGGACAATGACTTGAACCTGGGAGGCAGAGGTTTCCATGAGCCGAGATCGTGCCACTGCACTCCAGCCTGGGCAACAGAGTGTGACCCCATCTCAAAAAATAGTAATAATGTGAATAAATGTATCACAATGGCCAAAAGGTAGAAGCAACCCATACGTCTATCAGCGGAGGAACGGATGAACAAAACGTCATCTATCCGTAAACGGACTATGATTCAGCCACAAAAACACGTGAAGCAGCGGCACACGCTACACCACAGGTGGACCTTGAGAGCATCACACTCAGGGAAAGGCGCCAGGCACAAAGGCCACATGCTGTAGGATTCCATCTGCATGAAATGTTCCGAATAGGCAAAGCCATAGAGAGGACAGGGCAGAGGGGCCAGGGACTGGGGGTGGTGACAGATAAAGGGTACAGGGTTTCTTTCTGGGGTGATGAAAATGGTCACGGTGGTGATGTTTGCTCAACTTTCTAAGCATACTTTCAACGGGTAACTGTGTGGTACACAAACTCGATCTCAACGAAGCTGGAGGCGGGGTGGTGAGCCCGCAGCAGGCACGCAGGTGCGGAGGGGACGCTAGGCCCAGGTCTGGGGGAAGACAGGTGGGGGCCTGCTCCGAGCTGACTCAAGAGCCAGGGGAAACCACTGCCGAGTTCCCACAGAGGGGACTTGATGTCACCCCAGAGAGTGGTCCCAGTCATGCTGAGCCCCCAGTCCGCACCTGACTCTTTCTAGCCACGTGACCCACAGTCAGGCCTGTCTGTCTCAGTGCCTCAGGCTCCTCATCTGAAAAATGGGGTGATAACACTAGTAACTCCCTCCTAGGGTGGCTGGGAGGATAACCTGAAGTCACACGTGCAGAGCACCCAGTACATACTTGGCACCCATTATTTTTTTCTTTTTACCTTTTTTTTTGAGACAGAGTCTTGCTCTGTCGCTCAGTCTGGAGTACAATGGTGTGATCTCAGCTCACTGCAACCTCTGCCTCCCAGGTTCAAGCAATTCTCCTGCCTCAGCCTCCCAAGTAGCTTTAATTATAGGCGCCCACCACCATGACTGGCTAATTTTTTTTTTTGGAAATACAGTCTTGCCCTGTCGCCCAGGCTGGTGTACAATGGTGTGATCTCAGCTCACTGCAACCTCCGCCTCTCGGGTTCAAGTGATTCTCCTGCCTCAGCCTCCTGAGGAGCTGTGATTACAGGCATGCACCACCACACCTGGCTAATTTTTTGTATCTTTTGTAGAGACAGGATTTCACCATGTTGGCCAGGTTGGTCTCAAACTCCTGACCTCAGGTGATCCACCTGCCTCGGCCTCCCAAAATGCTGGGATTACAGGCATGAGCCACCATGCCTGGCCTCCCTGGCTAAGCTTTTTTTGTATTTTTAGTAGAGATGGGGCTTCACCATGTTGGCCAGGCTGGTCTTGAACTCCCGACCTCAGTGGTGCAGCAGCCTCAGCCTCCCAAAGCGCTGGCATTATAGGTGTGAGCCACATGCCCGGCTGGCATCCATGATTTTATGAGGTGAAAAAATCAAGCCCAAATCAGTGTGTAAAAGATCACACAATATTCAGAAAACCCCAGTCAGTAATAAAGAACAGGAGCTCATGTGCTTGGAAACATAACTGGGGACACAGGCCACAAATAGTGGACAGTGGGATGTGCTTCACCTTCTCCCTGATGGTGTGAAGTATCTGAATTTTTTATAATTTTGAACATATTAATATGAACATCCAGAAATATCAGTACACACAGATGTTTGAAAGGCACTGGAAGACCATGTGGGTTCTGTCACTTATGAGCTCTGTGTCCCTGACAAAGACCTTCACTTCCTTGCCTTAGTTTCCTCATCAGTTAAATGGGGATCTGAACAACCACAGGACAGCACACTGCATGGCACGGGGTAGTGCCTGGCTCAGCCTGCCCTGGAGCAGGGGGAGGGGGTGACCCTAGAGGGATCCCCCCTCCACTGAAGGACTGGGTCAGAGAAACCTGCAGCCAGGAAGAGCCGGCAACGTGTTCTGTGTGCCCCAGGACGGATGGCCCATGGGCAGCATGGAGGACCCGGCTGCCTCTCTTCCAGGCAGCCCTCCCCTGGGTGCCCACGGGAAACACAGCACTGGGGAGGCGGTGGTCACAGGAGCCCAGAGGCTCTGGGAGCACCTGCCCACACACTGCTGTGTAAGTAGCTGCCGAAGGCCAGGCAGCAGCAGGCTCAGCTCTGGGCTCCCTGCCTTGGGGAAAGGGAGGTGCCCCTGGGTGGCTGGGAGTGGGGCTGGGGCAGCAACTGACCTTTTCAATGTTAAGAGCCTTCATCTGAAGGATTAGGTCTTCAACAGGCCTCCGGGTGATTTCTGGAGGAGGAAACTGTTCGAAGTCACCAAAAACCGCAGAGGAATACAGCCTGGGGAGAGAAGTCGGGAAAGCAAACAGCATTCAGTCATGCCACTGGGATGGGATCTAGACACCCACCAGCCATGGCGCTTCACCTCTTCCTGCCTCGTTCTCCTCACCTGTGAAATGCAGCTCAAATTGCAGCTGCCTGGTGGAGAATTGATAAAGATTAATTAGCTACTACTCCACAGGCTGGGTGTGGCAGCTCACACCTGTAATCCCAGCACTTTGGGAGGCCAAGGTGGGTGAATCACGAAGTCAGGAGATCGAGACCAGCCTGGCCAACATAGTGAAACCCCATCTCTACTAAAAATACAAAAATTAGTTGGGCATGGTGGTGCTTGCCTGTAATCCCAGCTACTTGGGAGGCTGAGGCAGGAGAATCGCTTGAATCCAGGAGGCAGAGGTTGTGGTGAGCCGAGATAGGGTCACTGTACTCCAGCCTGGGTGACAGAGCGAGACTCCGTCTCAAAACAAACAAAAGCTATTATTCCATGTAGAGTGACTGCTTAACACAGGGGATGGTGCATAGCACTCTACACTTTAATTGCTTCCTACTGGTTTTCTTTGTATACTTTCTAAATTTTCTACTTTTGAAGTTAACATGTAGCCCTGACAAAAGGAACAGCAATAAAACTATTATAGAAATAAATAAATAAACACACACACAACCACACACACACACAACCACAAACTATTATAGATCACACACACACACACACATAATCACAGCACACGGATTAGGAGAAGCTATTTGTCAATGACACATCTGGTTAGGATCTAATATCGAGGTTATATAAAGAACTCTTACAGATTAATAATAAAAGGACAAGTAACCTAATTTAAAAAATGAGCAAAAGATCTGAATAGGCAGCTCCCCAAGAAGATGCACAAATGGCCCACAAGCATATGCAGAGGCCCAGCATCATTAGTCATTAGGGACACAGGAACCGAAACCAGTGCGATAGCACGTCATACCCACTAGGAGAGCTAGGCTCAAAAGTATTGAGGCCCTCATACAACAAAAAAGGGGGGCAGTAGGGGTACACGTTCTCAGGACTCACAGAGCTGTGTGACAGGATACAGTCACACATTCAAACAAAACAAACACACACACACACACACACACACACACACGGCCAGGCACAGTGCCACGTGCCTCTAACTCCCAGCTGTTTGGGAGGCTGAGGCGGGAAGACTGCTTGAGCCGAGGAGGTGGTGGCTGCAGTGAGCTATACTGTGCCGCACGCAACACTCCAGCCGGGGCAACAGAGCGAGACCTTGTCTTTCAAAAAATATCCCAGCAAAACAAAAATATTAAAAATAAGTGTCGGTGCTGGCCAGGCGCAGTGGCTCACACCTGTAATCCCAGCACTTTGGGAGGCTGAGGCGGGGGGATCACAAGGTCAAGAGACTGAGACCATCCTGGCCGACATGGTGAAACCCCGTCACTACCAAAAATACAAAATTTAGCCAGGTGTGGTGGCGGGCGCCTGCAGTCCCAGCTACTCGGGAGTCTGAGGCAGGAGAATCGCTTGAGCTGGGAGGTGGAGGTTGCAGTGAGCTGAGATCGTGACACGGCATTCCAGCCTGACAGGGCAAGACTATCTCAAAAAAAAAAAAAAACACAACCGTGTTGGTGAGTATGTGAAGAAACCGAAACCCTCGTTCATTGTTGGCAGGCGTGTAAAATGGGGTGGCTGCTGTGGGAAAGTCGGGTGGTTCCTCGATGAATCAAACCTGGAGTTACCATACGGCCCGGTAGTCTCTTCAGTTCTACTCCAAGAGCAGTGAACACAGAGAGTCAGACAAATCCTTGCACCGGAGCACTCTCCACAGTAGCCAAGAGGTGAAAACAACCAAATGTCCACCAGCTGGTGAACCGACAACAAAAACTCGGCACATCCATAAGGTGTGATATCACTCAGCCACAGCCAGGAATGGGGCGCTCCACCTGCCACCCGTGGTGGCCTTGAAAACTCACTGTGCTGAGCGGCAGAGGCCAGACACACGGCATTTATCTGAGTTGTCCACAACAGGCGCTTCCCTAGAGACAAAAACTCGTGGAGCGGCACATGCCACAGGCTGGGGTGGCGAAGAATCGGGGGCGACCGCTATGGCCACGGGTTTCTTTTTAGGTTGATGGGAAGTTCTGACATTGTGGTGATGGCTGCAAAACTCTGGCTGTCCTAAAAACTCCTGTATTGTATACTTTACAATGATGCACACTTTATGGTATGTGAATCATATCCTGATCAAGCTGTGAACAAAACAAACGGGACTCAAAACCGGTGCCTGGTCCCGGTCGCAGAATAAAGCAAGCGTGAGGCCAGGCAGTGGCTCACGCCTATGATCCCAGCACTTTGGGAGGCCGAGGCGGGTGGATCACCTGAAGTCAGGAGTTTGAGACCAGCCTGGCCAATGCAGTGAAACCCTGTCTCTACTAAAAATACACAAATTAGCCGGGCATGGTGGCAGGCGCCTGTAGCTACTCGGGAGACTGAGGCAGAAATATTACTTGAACCCGGGAGGCAGAAGTTGCAGTTAGCCGAGACTGCCATTGCACTGCAGCCTGGGTGACAAAACCGAAATTCCATCTCAAAAAAATAAATAGTGTGTGTATCTGAAAGCCAGCAAAAGGGCTGGGGAGCGCCCCAAAGTCACAGGGGCCCGGTAGGACATGGGATGCACTACAGATGGAGGCAGCGTCCTTCCTTTGTTCCTCAGTGGCCACTGCAGGGCGGCACCAACGCCCCTGGGGAGGAACCTGGTGACCCACCTGTAGCAGTGGCCGGGCTCTGTCCGGCCTGCTCTGCCTGCTCGCTGATCAGCTGATGCCTGGGAGACCCAGGTGACACGGAAGGAGGACACACCCGTGACGCGGTCATAGTCGCGCTTCTTGACCTTCCCACAGTCCACCACGTACTTGATGCCAGGGATGGTAAGAGACGTTTCAGCCACGTTGGTGGCCACGACACACAGCCTAGTCCCCTCTGGTGGAGGCTTAAAGACCTAGGATTGGGGAGGGGATGGCAGGAAAACACCGGAGTCAGGAAATAGACCATGGAATGGAGGCGCAAGGACAGAGTCAGCCAGGCCTGTGTGCTGGAGAGGCAGCAAGGACAAGCCATGCCACTTGGGCCGCAGGGCCCGGGGGCAGGAAGGGTTTTCTATTCTCCACAACTACCTCAATAGTCCTCAGAACTCCGGGGCTGCCAGTCAAACAGCAGATGGAGGGGACCACCAAGGGCTTGACTAAGCCCACTGCACTGCCCTCGAAAGTTCCCCAAAAGCTGGGCACCCGGCCCGGCATGGTTACCTGTGCTTGTTTCTCTGGGGCCAGCAGAGAGTACAGCGGAAGCACGTGGAGCGGGAGGGAGGCGTCTGGTTGCTCACCTGGAGGGAATGCAGAGGCTGCTGGCACCCCAGCCAGGACAGATGCCCACAGGCAGGAGCCGGCTACAATGGCCCTGCACACCCAGGCTGCCCCACCAGGGCTCCTGTCCTGCCCTGCTAGGGGGGTCGCCTCGAGACCAGCTAGGCCAAGCCTGGGGGGACTGCTGAGTTTCCCAGGGCTCTCATCTCTACTGCCCTGAGCCCGGTCTGAACCCCTGCCTCACTGCAGTCTCCTCTTCAATCCCCTGGCATGGATCCTGGGGCCTGACTCTGCCCCTCGCATCCAGGCAGCATTGTGGTGGGGGTCAGGTTGAGTCTGGTACCCTCTACTGCCCCACTCAGCCCCTGGCTGGGCACAGCAGGGCAAGGTCTGTCTGCATTCATGGGGCCCCTTGGAGCACACGGTGCTGGACAACGCTCCCAGGCCCTGGAGGCCCGTGTCCCTCAGCAACGGGGTGGGCAGCCCCTGTTACATTCAACATGGCAAATGCTCAAGGCCTCCTCATGCAGGGCAGCTTCAGGAACTCGGGAAGCATCAGGGACAAAGCTGCTGGCACCCCAGCCCCTGAGGGGCCTACACCCCGGCAAGCAGTGAGGGCTCTGGGCACATCCTCAGGGCAGAGCTATTTGAATGTGAGCAGAAAGCGGCTCCAGGGCCACACCTCCATCCTGCCCGCTGTCCCCCAGGTCCAGATCGAGGTCAGAGTCCAGGGCTCCCTCTTCCTCGTCCACTTCTGCCTCTCTGTCCTCGTCACCTTCGCCCACCGGCAACACTGAGTAATGATCCAAGTTGATCTGGGGCAGCACCTACAGTAAATGAGACATGGACACCTGCGCTGCAGGGGACCCTGGTGTGGGGACGTGGCATGTGCAGGAAGACACATCCTTGCATGAAAGCCCCGATCCCACCCACACAACGTGGATACCTGGGCTGCAGGGGACCCTGGTGTGGGGACGTGGCATGTACAGGCAGAAAGACAGATGTCCTCAATCCCTCCCCACCCATGGGCTGTGTGACCCAGGGCAGGCCATATAACTATTTGTTCTTGCCTCAGTTTCCCCACCTAAACCCTGAGGACTATCATGGACCTTGTCTCTCAGCCTGCTGGGAGGATTCTGTGGACACATGAGGAACGTGGGTCACTGCCTGACATGCCGGTAGGGCAACAGGCAAGCTGGAGACAGGTACCCGCTCCCGCTGTCAGGGACCATAAGACCCACGGTGCCTTCGCGCAGACACTAGAGACAAGCCCCTCCCAGCCCAGCATCCTCGCTGTCCCGCCTCTTCAGCCAGCATCAGGGGTCTGCCAGCTCTCCCAGGGGGTCCTCACAGGCCCCTGGCTTTCTGGAAGCGTCCTCAGAGACGGTTTCAAACCCCAGCCCACCCTGCAGCCCCGAGAGCTGTGCAGTGCAGCAGAACTGTCTTTCACAAGGAGTGCCACAGGCTCTGTCTCAGAAAAGGAAAAGAAATCCATTTCCACCACTGCCCCAGGCCCAGACATGCAGGGTTGCCGCAGACCTGTGCTGTCCAGCAGGGTAGGTCCTGCAGCCCCGTGTGGCTACAGAGCAGCTGATACAGGCCTGGGGAAATGGAGGAACTGGATTTCCTTTTCCTTTTCTTTTCTTTCCGAGATGGAGTTTCATTCTTGTTGCCCAGGCTAGAGTGCAATGGCACGATCTCAGTTCATTGCAACCTCCGCCTCCCAGGTTCAAGGAATTCTCCTGCCTCAGCTTCCTGAGCAGCTGGGATCATAGGCGCGCACCGCCACACCCGGCTAATTTTGTATTTTTAGTAGAGACGGGGATTCACCCAGCATGAGGAGGCCTCGAGCATTTGCCGTGTTGAATGTAACGGGGGCTTCCCACCCTGTTGCTGAGGGACAACAGCCTTCAGGGCCGTGGAGTGTTACCCAGCACTGTGTGCTTGCAGGGGCCCCATGACTGCAGACAGTCCAGTGCCCTGCTGCGCCTTTGGTCAGCCTGGACTTGAACTCCTGACCTCAGGTGATCCACCCGCTTCAGTCTCCCAAAGTGCTGGGATTACAGGCGTGAACCATCACGCCTGGCCTTCTTCTCCTTTTCTGAGACAGAGTCTTGCTTTGTTGCCCAGGCTGGGGTGCGGTGGAGCCATCACAGCTCACTGCAGCCGTGACCTCCTGGGCTCAGACGGTTCTCCTGCCTCAGCCTGAGCAGTGGGACCCCAGGCACACACCACTGCACCGGGTTAATTCAAAAATTGTTTGTAGAGACAGGGTCTCACCATGTTGCCCAGGCTGGTCTCAAACTGTATGCCTCAAATGATCCTCCTACCTTGGCCTCCCAAAGTGCTGGAATTACAGGCATGAGCTACTGTGCCCGACCAGGAACTGGATTTTTAATTTCATTTAATCCCAATTACACTTCTACTTAAGCAGCCACATGAGGCTGAAGGCCGCCACCTGGATACACAGCCTCCTCTCCAGGAGTCCCTCCCAGCCCCACGTACCTCGGCCCGAGCCTTCTTGGCCCTGGCCCTGGACTTCTTAAACTTCCGCATTTCCTCTGCTGAGTCTTTCTGATCGTCATCCTTTTCTGGGGGAGGCAGGTTGGGGATAAAGGCATCTGTGGCCAGCGTGGTCACGAGCACGCTGCTCTTTGCTGTTCAGGACAAGGCCACTCAGTGGTGGCCGTTTATTTGGGGGTGAAGTGGGGAATGGCAAAGGCGCTGACCGACACTCCCAGAGGGAAACTCAGAGCCGCACCCCGGCTGCTCAGGGCAGAGCGCTGGTTGGGGGCGTCCTCTTTACCTGGCGGCCGGGATCGGGAGGGTGGGAAAGCCTTCCTGAGCCTGCGGCACAGCGCGTGCACCTCAGCCTGCCCTGTCAGGAACACCAGGATGCCACCTGTGAAAAGAACGGGCCCCTCTGTTATCCGCCAGTCACTCACAAACACTGACTTAGCAGGGAGCACCTGCCGGGCCCTGCGCTGAGAGTCAGGGCTCCAGGGGTAACTGGGAGGACAGGGGTGCACAGATGCGGATAAGCAGGAGGCAGCACCCCCAGACTGAAGGAGTTGCTGGGGGGAGTTCAACAAACATGGCGACCGCACAGCCCAGCAGCGCCACTCCTAGGCACAGACCTAAAAACCAGGAGAAACGTGCTCAAGCGGAAACCTGCACAGCACACTTGTGACAACGCCGCAGCTGCCCTGGGACCCGAGGCTGCAGGAAGCCTCACTGTCCAACTCCCACCTCACCTCGCCTCCCGCCAGCCCCACTCTCCCAGAGAATGGACGGGAGCCCCACTGTCCAACTCCCACCTCATCTCGCCTCCCGCCAGCCCCACTCTCCCAGAGAATGGACGGGAGCCCCACTGTCCAACTCCCACCTCACCTCGCCTCCCGCCAGCCCCACTCTCCCAGAGAATGGACGGGAGCCCCAAGAGCCCCTGAATGCCCAGAGGCCTTATGCAGAGCAAGGACAGAGCATCTCGAAGCAGCGACCTTGGCTTCCTCAAAGAACGAGGTCAAGCTTCATAGGAAGCACCCCACGGCTCCTGGCCTCCCTAACATGGAGAAAGTCCGCCTTGGGCCTCAATGCAGCACATGAGGGTCTCTGGCTAGGATGGGTGTAGTGGGCTCAGGCCTGTAATCCCAGCATTTTGGGAGGCCAAGGTGGGTGGATCACAAGGTCAAGAGGTCAGGAGTGCAAGACCATCCTGGCCAACATGGTAAAACCCTGCCTCTACCAAAATACAAAAAATTAGCTGGGCGGGGCGGTGTGCACCTGTAATCCTAGCTACTCGGGAAGCTGAGGCAGGAGAATTGCTTGACTCCAAAATGCAGATGTTTCAGTGAGCTGAGATCGCACCATTGCACTGCAGCCTGGTCAACAAGAGCAAAACTCCATCTCAAAAAAAAAAAAAAAAAAAAGGCAGGTGGATCATCTGAGGTCAGCAGTTCAAAACCGGCCCCGGGAAACATGGTGAAACCCCATCTCTACTAAAAATAAAAAAAATCAGCTGGGCATGGTGGTGGTTGCGTGTAATCCCAAGGAAGCAGAATTGCTTGACCTCAAGAGGCAGAGGTTGCAGTGAGCCGAGATCTTGTCATTGTACTCCAGCCTGACAAATGAGAGCAAAAGTCCGCCTCAATAAATAAATAAGGCTGGGCTTGGTGGCTCACGCCTGTAATACCAGCACTTAGGGAGGCCAAGGTGGGTGGATCACAAGGTCAAGAGATCGAGACCATCCTGGCCAACATGGTGAAACTCTGTCTCTACTAAAAAATACAGAAAAATTAGCTGGGCATGGTGGTGCATGTCTGTAGTCCCAGCTACTCGGGAGGCTGAGGCAGGAGAATTGCTTGAATCTGGGAGGTGGAGGTTGCAGTGACCCAAGATTGCACCACTGCACTCCAGCATGGCCCCTGGCGACAGAGCGAGACTGTCTCAAATAAATAAATAAATGTCTCTGGCTGGAAGCCATCACAATCTATTCACACAGAAAGGGTCACACCCATTTCAGTAACACGAGGCAGGTAATGGAGCGGCTGTGATGTGGACAACGCGGGACAGTGAAGGGGATCCCTGACTCTCGGGGGACGTGCCTGTTCCCCTGCAGTGCCTCAGTGTCTATGGTCACCTGCCAGCACCGGCCTGTGCCCCGTGGGTTTTTCTGCTTATCAGATAGGGACAGATGGCAAGCTCCACCCTCTGGAAGCGGCTGAGGCCTCCTCGTATTTTGGGTGGAATGGGGCAGGACAGGTGTTGTGAACACTCGAGCCAATGAGGAAGCCGAGGCCTGGCAGGGACAAGGGACTGCTCTGAGCCACTCAGGAGATGGGCGCTCCCACCCAGTGCCTCCCTGTAGGAAGGGAGGCCTGTTCCCGGCCAGGGCCTCACCTGCGGGCAGCATGCGGTGGATCTTGCAGACCTTCCGGAAGCACTCTCCGCTGTAGTCTTCCAGAGGCGTCCGCTTGTTGAAGTGCACGGTCACTGGGAACTGCCTGGATTCCACCTGTGGGATGCCAAGGAAGGCGTGGGGGTGACTTCGGCCCAGGGCTGCCTTTCCTTTCCCCATCACCCAGAATCAAGGTTTCCAACACGCCCTCCAAGCTGCTGTCACTCCCTCACGTGACCGAGTGAGATCTTTCAGGAGGCTCCCAACGCCTTCCAAGCCCACAGAGGACCCGGGACCCTGTGTTACCCTGATGACTGGGGGTGGCTTGGTGAAGAGCCTCGGGTTCTGGGTGAAGTCCTCCACCCGCAGCGTGGCTGACATGATGAGCAGCTTCAGTGGCAGCTTCCTCTGTGGGAGGACAGGCTCGGTGACTGCGGCCCCAGGACCACAGGAGGGTCTGAAGCCTGGGAAAACGGCATGGGGAGGCCCTGCTGTCCACCCCGTTCCCCTCCAGCCACCACCCTCTGCCCCTTTCTGGATGCCAAAGGCTCCTTGGAGAAAGTGAGCCGACAGCGGGGTCTGCGATTCTCAGGGCAGCGGCTTGTTCCGGGGGGTCCTTCCAAGTCAGGCTTCCATGGTGGAATACGAGGCAGGAGGGCTGAGACTGGGGCCACCCGACCTGGCTCCCACCTGACACTGAGATTCAGCGGCTGTTGGTTCTGAGGGCTCAGGCAGGAGCTGCCTGATTCTCGGGTCTGTGGGGGGCCCCTTGGTCCCCAGCTTGCTCAGCAATGCCTGATAGCCTCATGGTGAGCTCTGCTTCAAGCCCTTGCTACCTTTACTTCTAACCCCAAACCCAGAAGCTAAGGAGTGGTGGGAGTGCCTCCGTGAGGCATGGCACCCAGCACAGGCCCCTCTCTTGCCCTAATGACTGTCCCTGTCTGCCCCAACCCTGTGCCTTCCTGACCCCACATCGCCCTCTCTGCTTGGCCATTCTAGACACCCTGATGGCCCCCAAAGACGTGAACCAAGAGCACAGTGAGATATCACTTTCCACCCACGTCTAGAATAACAATGGCGAATGACAAGTGTCGGCAGATTCCACATCCCGGAAGCTCTGACACCACTGCTGGGGAAGTCACATGGAATTCCGCCGTGCTGTGGGACATCATCTGCAAATGGCTACATACAAGTGACCATGGTCTAGCTACGTGGGAGGCTGAGGCAGAAGGATTCCTTAAGCCTAGAAGGTCGGGGTTGCAGTGAGCTGTGACTGCACCACTGCACTCCAGGCTCGGGGACAATGAGACCCTGCCTCGAAAAGAAAACAAAAACAAAAACCACCACAGAAAACCGTAAAAGGTACAGGGTTTGTTTCTGTTTTTCAGACAAAGTCTCGCCGTCACCCAGGTTGGAGTGCAGTGGTGTGATCTCTGCCAGCTCACTGCCAGCTCCACTCCCTGGGTTCAAGCAATTCTCCTGCCTCAGCCTCCCGAGTATCTGGGATTACAGGCATGCACCACCACACCCGGCTAATTTTTGTGCTTTTAATAGAGACAGGGTTTCACCATGTTAGCCAGGCTGGTTTCGAACTCCTGACCTGGTGATCTGCCCGCCTCAGCCTCCCAAAGTGCTGGGATTACAGGTGTGAGCCCCTGTGCCCGGCCTACGGTTTCTTTTTGGATGAGTGACAACAGGCAAAACTGACTGTGGTGCTGGCTGCACATTCTGCGAATGGACTCAAAACCACTGAATTGTCCATTCCAATGGATGAATGACAGGAAATGTGAAAAATAGCCCAATAAAGCTTGTTACCAAAAGAAAAAAGGCACCAGGCAGACGCCCGCCTCAGGGCCTGTGCACTGCTCTCCTCGCTCTGCCATGCACGCTGCGCGCCCCTCCCTCACTCAGCCCCTGTTCCAGCTTAGAGGTCACCTTTCGGGTGAGGCCCTGGCTAGCCCTGTGCCCTCCCTCCACTGCCCCTGGCTCTGGCCGTCACTGGCTCACAGACTCTGAGTCTGTGTCCTGCCCACTGCCCTTGCTGAAATGGAAGCCCCAGGAGGGCAGGAACCTGTTAGAACAAGACGGCATCTCGTTCACTGTAGATGCTCAGGGCCACGATGTTCAGGGCCTTGAACGTGGCCAGGCTCGTGGCACATGTGGAGTGCAGGCCTCTCTCACCGCTGGGAGGGTGGGACAGGCCTACTGCATGGAGCCCCGGCCCAGGATGGTCCCCCACTCAGCAGGCCTGTGGCAGGTTGGGGCAGGGAGACAGTGAAAGAGGCCCTGGGGAGCCCCTCTCGGAGCTCTGGGAGCCTGACTCTTAGCCAGACAGGCCTACCTGCTGTGATGATCCCAGAGGCCCAGTGGCCTTGTCATCTGGCCCCAGGGGGCCTGGCCAGGCACCAACACTGCGCCTGAGCCTCTTGCTTTGGGTGGGAGGAAGGACATCAGTTTATGAGGCTGGTGCTGGGCGGTGGGGAGGGGACCACACAGGGGATGCTCCAAGGTTCACAGCCCTGGCACAGGGCCTTGTTCTCAGGGACCTGCTTAGAGCAGCAGGTGCAGCAGGGAACAGGTGAAGGGAGCGCTACCTTGGCTCGGAGAGACACGATGCGGGACAGGAGACCGATGAGGATGTCAGTGTACACGCTCCTCTCGTGGGCCTCGTCGATGATCACCACCTTGTACCGCAGCAGCAGGAAGTCCTGGGGGAGGCGTGGGGGTGAGGCCCCCTCCCAGCCTGAGCCCCCCCGGGATGCTTCACCTCCCAGCACTCCCGCTTGAGACAGTGTTACAGGAGGGGCAGCTGCTCTTCATCAGAACTGACCTGCCCAACTTCGGGTGCCCGCAGAGTGGGAGGGCAGGTGGGAAACGGACATGAGATTCGGGGTGGGCTGTGGGAAGTCGAACAGCAGGTCCCACCCAGACAGGGGCCACCCAGACCAAAACCACATCCACTGTCACACCCAGGAATCCTAATGGATTCAAAGCCAGGAGGGCTGGAATCACCTTTGCCTTCCTCAAGACTGGCCCCGCCTGAGGGGATGTCCCAGCCAGCACGAAGCACGCACAGCCCCTTCACAGGACAGCAGTCCCCCACCCGGTCCCTGCATGCCCCCACTTGACTGGATGGCCGGCTCCCTGGGAAGAATGGGGGGCTTCCCCAAGGCCCAAATGGGCTGGCTGGGCAGGCAGCAGCTGGGGTTCTGATTTACAAACGGAAAGTCCTTGGGGCACAGCTTCTGTGGTCAGACACCCCCCTGCTCGAGGGCAAGGCCCACCCAGTTCCTCAGCCTGAGGCAAACCCCCCCATCCCAAAGCTGCTGCTGCTCCTTCCCAAACGCAGCTGGACTTGAACTTCCCAAGACGGGGCTGCGTCCGGGTCCCCTGCAGGGCAAAGCCTGTACGCCACAGGCGCGCAATACACCCCGGGCAATGCGTGAACTTGGTGACCCCAGTCATAATAAAAATACAAGGTCACATTTCATGAGCACCTACCAGATATCCGACACTGTGCTAAGCTGTTAGCATGCATCCCACACCTCCACTTCAAAATGATTATCTGAAGAATGCAGCAACACATTCATCAGGAAACTGAGCTTGGAGAGGCTGAGCTGCACAGTGGCACAGTAGGAGTGCCGGCTGGTCATTTCCCAGGTGACATCGTAGCACCCTGCCCCCGTGCCCACTGGCTCTGCTCTGTGAGCCAGGACCCGCAACCAACCTTCTGGATTTCTTTGAGAAGCACGCCATCTGTCATGAACTTGATTCTGGTCTCCTCGGTCACATTTCCTTCATACCGGATCTGGTAGGAGACGACCCTGTGGGGGCAGACTTCGGTTAGGGCAGAGCTGAGGCTGCTGGGGCTGGTGCCAGGTGGCCACCACAAGGCAGGCAGCGCAGCCAGCTGGCGGCTTGAGGGGCCAGGACCCACCGCCAACCTGAAAGACAGCCCAGACCTCTCCCAGTCCACTCTCCCCCTCCAAAATCCTGGTTTCGGAAGGGAAGGGGAAGGAGCTGTTAAGGCCAATGGAGGAGCCAGGCCCCAAACACCCCAGCCAGGCCAGCCACGGACGACCCCTGTACTGGAAAGCGCTGGGGAGATTGGAACACGGACTGGAGCGTGTTGGGGAGACTTTGCAGACATGTAGCTATGATGGGGTACCGCGGCTGTGTGTGTTTTATAAAAAGTCGTTTTTTCTGTTTTTAACTGAGATGGAGTCTTGCTCTGTTGCCCAGGCTGGAGTGCAATGGTGCGATCTCAGCTCACTGCAACCTCTGCCTCCCAGGTTCAAGCAATGCCCCTGCCTCAGCCTCCTGAGTAGCTGAGATTACAGGCGCACACCCCCATGCCCAGCTAATTTTTTTGTAGTTTTTTAGTAGAGATGGGGTTTCACCATGTTGGCCAGGCTGGTCTTGAATGCCTGATCTCATAATCTGCCCACCTCGGCCTCCTCAAGTGCTGGGATTACAGGCATAAGCCACCACATCTGGCCAAAAAATCTTTGTCTGAATTTAAAACTTAGCCTGGGATAGGTATGACAGCTCACGCCCGTAGTCCCAGCACTTTGGGAGCCTGAGGCACACAAATCACAAAGTTAGGTGATTGAGACCATCCTGGCTAACACTTAAACCCTGTCTCTACAAAAAATACAAAAAATTAGTTGAGCGTGGTAGTACATACCTGTAATCCTACTCAGGAGGCTGAGGCAGGAGAATCACTTGAATTTGGGAGGTGGAGGTTGCAGTGAGCTGAGATTGTGCCACTACACTCCAGCCTGGGTGACAGAGTGAGACTCTGCCTCAAAAAAAAAAAAAAATTAGCCTGTTGGGCTGGGTGTAGTGGCTCATGCTGGTAATCCCAACACTTTGGGAGGCTGAGGCGGGCAGATCACAAGGTCAGGCATTGGAGGCCATCCTGGCCAACATGGTGAAACCCCGACTCTACTAAAAATACAAAGATTAGCCAGGCATGGTGGCATGTGTCTGTAATTCTAGCTACTCGGGAGGCTGAGGCAGGAAAATCGCTTGAGCTCGGGAGGCAGCGGTTATAGTGAGCAGAGATCATGCCACTGAACTCCAGCCTGGGTGACAAAGGAAGACTCCATCTCAAAACAAAAAAATCAGTGCTTATCCCTCAGATCTATACAGGGAAATATTGAGGATAAAACAAGGCATCTAAGATTTGCTTCTCAACATTGGTAGGGAGCGGGGCCGGGAGGAGAGTGCAGGCCCAACAGGGTAGGCCGGGAGTTGACAATTATTATGATTGCGTCTTGGTTACCTGGGGGCTCACGATACCATCCTTTCTTCTTATGTATATGCCCCCAATTTTTATAATATTTAACAAGTTAAAGAGAGGACGAGGCAGCTTTTTATAGATGCACACTGACTATGCACAGAATCGTCCAGAAGAATGTGCAGGAAACAGGCCGTGGTGGCTGCCACCAGGAGAGGGAGGCAGGGCACTGGGTGAGAAGGGTCCCCCTCCCCCATGGAGTACTCCATCCCTGCTTTAGTGTCTTCCCAGCCTAACCTACAAATACAAGTCCCCTGATGCCCTGCTGACCCAGGGGGCCGGTGGTTCTATCTAGTCCACCAGCACGTCCTGAGTGCCCCGGACGGACCAGTAACATCTGATGAGTGGGCGGATGAGGCCGGCTCTCACTCTGCATTCTCTTGTGCCTTTTCTGCATTTCAGGCCACGTTGGATGTGTTAGACACAGGCCCCCGCCTTATTAACACATGCTCCCAACCACTGTAAAGCACGTGCTGCGCCCGCGTGTTCAAGATCCCTTTCCAAAGCAAGTCCTGCAGACGTACTGCCGGAGGCTTGGTACTTTAGAACCTTGAGCTTTAGAATAACTTGGCAATGCTAGGTACTAACTGCATCTGACACCCTGCTCTGCGTGCGAGCCCCTGGACGGGCCACTCTGTCCCCTCAGCACACTGTGCAGGGTCTAAGCCGAGGGCCTGCTTGGAGGGCCGCTGTTTGGGCAGGTCCTGGAAAGCTCTCTCCCACAGTGATTCCCAGTGCTCCATGCAGAGGCGACACTCCACCCAGCACCCTCGGCACAGACACCACTCACCTCCTCCTGGACATCCCACGTCTGGGCAAGGCCACAGCACCACCCCGTAGCCCTCCCCAGGAAGTAGAGCTCTCACCGCTGCGACAGATTCATCTCCTTGGCCACTCGCTGGGACATGGCCATGGCAGCCACTCGGCGGGGCTCCGTGACGCCAATGATGCTGCCCTCACTGGGGGAGGAAGAACGAGGCCATCAACAGTGCTCGGCCCCACTGCGCAGCCCAGAGCCTCACGCAGTTTCCTGTCCTGACCTGGTGCTCGCCCAGGCCCCGTGGGAAACGATGTCAGGCTGCACTACTTTTAACAGCAAAGGGAACATCCCAAACGTCAGCCACACACAGAAAATGGTTCAACATTCCCGGTGTAGCAGACACCAGGCGGCCCCTAGAAGGAACAGGTTCTGGGGGAATCAGGCCAGGAGATCTGTTTGCCCCGGTCAAGGACATGCTCCTCCAGACACAGGAACCCCCCAAGCCAGTGGGTGGCTGTTCCCAGCTCTCTGCAAACACTAACACCACAGGCCTGGGCTGCTCTCCCTCAAGAGGCTGCTGGTGGGGCTGGCCCTCGCTGGTGCCTGAACCTAGACAACAGGAGAGCTCCCTCCACTCCCTATAGGTGCAGGGCCCACTGCGCCAGGCTGTTTGCACAAACAGGTTGGTTTATGCTGAACACCTACTCTCTTTCTTGGCATCGAGGCTTTCGTTCCTGGCAGGCATGGTGGGCTTAGGAGACCCCAGTAACAGCCGTGGGCCCTGAGTCTCTAACAAGCTTCCCTGGTGGAGGACATGTCCTGTGCGGTCACAGGTGGTTACTGGAGAATCAAGCGCATCCTATGTGAGTCCACCAGGAGGGGACTCTGGAATCGGGAGCTGGGCCTCCCCAGCTGCCACTGCCCTCTGCCGATTGCGACCTTTGCTGTAATACACCATAGCCGTGCATAGGATGGCACGGTGAGTCCTGGGAGTCCCCCATCAATCATTGAACCTGTGCGTGGTCCTGGGGACCCCAACACACATGGGTCAAAAGTGCCATAGGAGGCTAAGCAGTGAAAAGAGTTGGCACTGGCTGGGCGTGGTAGCTCACGCCTGTAATCCCAGCACTTTGGGAGGTTGAGGCGCATGGATCATCTGGGTTCAGGAGTTCGAGACCAGCCTGATCATCATGGTGAAACTCCATCTCTGCTAAAAATATAAAAATTAGCTAGGTGTGGTGGCAGACGCCTGTAATCCTAGCTACTAAGGAGGCTGAAGTAGGAGAATAGCTTGAACCTGGGAAGCAGAGGTTGCAGTGAGCAGAGATTGTGCCACTGCACTCTAGACTGGGCGATACAGCAAGACTCGGTCTCAAAAAAAAAAAAAAAAGCCAGGCATGCTGGCTCACGCCTGTAATCACAACACTCAGGGAGGCTGAGGCGGGCGGATCATGAGGTCAGCAGGTCGAGACCAGCCTGAGCAACATGGTGAAACCCCGTCTCTACTAAAAATACACAAAAAATATTACCCGGGCACGATGGCACATGCCTGTAATCCCAGCTACTCAGGAGGCTAAGGCAGGAGAACCACTTGAACTCGGGAGGCAGAGGTTGCAGTGAGCAGAGATCGCATTGCACTCCAGCCAGGGTGACAGAGAAAAGCACATGGCTCTATGTGTCAGGGACATCAGGGACCAAGTGTGCTACATAGTCCACGCACTTAATCCACACAACAACCTTGTGAAGTAGGTGCTATTATTCCTATCTCACAGCTGGGGCCCAGAGAAGTTAAGTAGGTTGTCTGAAGTTACACAGCATGCACAGGATCAGATCCCAGGGAGCCCAGGCTCTTATAGACTTTTGGGGCATCTCCAGTGTCACCCAGGGACCCACAGAGAACCCTGTGTCCAGCCCCTACCTGCTATAGCCTGCTTCATAGAGAAACTGCGGCACCTGTGTGGTCTTCCCACTGCCGGTCTCGCCACACACGATGATGATGGGGTGCTCGGCTACGGCCTCCATGATCACTTGTTCTTCAGCAAGAATCGGGAGCTTTAGCCGTTCTTCCTGGAAGAACGAGTCGGCACTTAGGGAACAGCCAGACTACAGACAGTGACAGGATCTCAGGGAAGGTGGCAGCTGACACGTGGGTGGTGAACAGATGTGCCTCCTGGGGAATGGAGGCCTTGGCAGCTAGGAGCCATGGCCCAGGAGAGACAGAGACAGACAGAGGCAGGGACCGCATCCTTCGGGACACCAGGCCTGACATCCCCGGCACAGCTCGGCTGGGGCAGAGCAGCCTCTCAGAGACATGGGAACCCTCGCTCTTGCTGGCCGGAGTCTCAGTTAATGGCACGGCCACGTCAATAAGCAATCTGGTATAAATATTCTCAAAGTCAAGGATGTGTGGCCCTGTGGCTCCTCTCCAGGTACACATGCCAGAGCAGGGGCTTCTACATTCTTTTCCTATGACTCATGGAAAGAAACATTTTATATCATGACTCAGTACACACACAGGCACATATATGTATTATACATGGAACTGTGAAGCACAGCTCACCCTAATGTGTATGTAGTGGCGCGATCTCAGCTCACTGAAACCTCTGCCTCCCAGGTTCAAGCGATTCTCCTGCCTCAGCCTCCCGAGTAGCAGGGATTATAGGCAACTGCAACCACGCCCAGCTAATTTTCGTATTTTTAGTAGAGACGGGGTTTCACCATGTTGGCCAGGCTGGTCTTGAATCCTGACCTCAGGTGATCTGCCTGGCTTGGCCTCCCAAAGTGCTGAGATTACAGGCATGAGCCACCATGCCTGGCCAACAAGCTCATATTCTTAATTTTGTTCTATTTCCATTCTATTCCATTTGTTTAAAAAAAAAAAATGAGGCCAGGCGTGATGAATCACACCTGTAATCCTGGTGACTTGAGAGGACAAGGGAGACGATTGCTTGAGATCAGCCTGGGCAACATAGGCAAACCCTATCTCTACAAAAAACAAAAAAGCCAGGCATGGTGGCACACATCCATAGTCCCAGCTACTCATGAGGCTGAGGTGGGAAGACTGCTTGAGCCCAGGAGGTAGAGGCTGCAGTGAACTGTGACTGCATACTGCACTCCAGCCTGGGCAATAGAACAGGACACTATCTCAAAAAAAAAAGAAAAAAAAAAAAAGAGAAGAGAAGAAAAAACTACTCAGTTCATGACCCAAAGACGGCTATGACCTTATTTGCAAACACTGCCCAAGAGAACCTTCTGCACATGTGTTCATGAGAGAGGGACAAGAACGTTTAAAACAGCAGCGAAGGCTGGGCACAGTGCTTACCCTGTAATCCCAACACTTTGGGAGGCCAAGGTGGGTAGACTGCCTGAGCTCAGGAGTTCAAGACCAGCCTGGCAACGTGGCAAAACCCTGTCTCTATTAAAAAATACAAAATTAGTCAAGGATACTAGCACGTGCCTATAGTCTCAGGCTCCTTGGGAGGGTGAGGCAGGAGCAGCACTTGAGCCGGAGGTTGCAGTCCGCTGAGATCACACCACTAACACAGTGAGACCCTGTCTCAAAAACAAACAACAGCTGGGCGCGGTGGCTCACGCCTGTAATCCCAGCACTTTGGGAGGCCAAGGCGGGTGGATCACGAGGTCAAGAGATCGAGACCATCCTGGTCAACAAGGTGAAACCCTGTCTCTACTAAAAATACAAAAATTAGAGTATAAATCGTTCTACTATAAGGACACATGCACACGAATGTTCAATGCAGCACTGTTCACAATAGCAAAGACCTGGAACCAACCCAAATGCCCATCGATGATAGACTGGATTGGGAAAATGTGGCACATATACACCATGGAATATTATGCAGCAATCAAAAATGATGAGTTCGTGTCCTTTGTAGGGACATGGATAAATCTGGAGAACATCATTCTCAGCAAACTGACACAAGAACAGAAAATGAAATACCGCATGTTCTCACTCATAGGCGGGTGATGGAAAATGAGAACACATGGACACAGGGAAGGGAGTACTAAACACTGGGGTCTATTGGGGGGAAGAGGGGAGGGACAGTGGAGGGGGGGAACTGGGGAGGGATAGCCTGGGGAGAAATGCCAAATGTGGGTGAAGGGGAGGAAGGCAGCAAAACACACTGCCATGTGTGTACCTATGCAACTATCTTGCATGTTCTGCTCATGAACCCCAAAACCTAAAATGCAATTAAAAAAAAAAAATTAGCTGGGCATGGTGGTGCATGCCTGTAATCCCAGCTACTCAGGAGGCTGAGGCAGGAGAATTGCCTGAACCCAGGAGGCGGAGGTTGCGGTGAGCCGAGATCGCGCCATTGCACTCCAGCCTGGGTCACAAGAGCGAAACTCCGTCTCAAAAAAATAAATAAATAAATAAACAGCAACAACAAAAACCGTAGTGAAGACAACAGCAAAGAGCTCCAATGACCAGCTATTTAGCAACAGAATGTTGATCCTGGGCTGTATTCGCACCGTGGAACACTCAGTAGCAGTGGGGAAAAGAGTAAACGAACCTCAGCGATCTGCGTCAACGCGGATACATCCCAGGACATAATGCTGAGTAACAAAAAGCAAACTGTGGAATAATGTCAATGGCATGATGCCGCTTTTCAATCAGGCAAACCTACGGTATGGACTGCTTAGGAACACGGGTAGGAAAAAATTCACAAAGAAAAGCAGGAACTAGGCCAGGCGCGGTGGCTCACGCCTGTAATCCCAGCACTTGGGGAGGCCAAGGCGGATGGATCACGAGGTCAAGAGATCGAGACCATCCTGGTCAACATGGTGAAACCCCATCTCTACTAAAAATACAAAAAATTAGCTGGGCATGGTGGCACGTGCCTGTAGTCCCAGCTACTCGGGAGGCTGAGGCAGGAGAATTGCCTGAACCCAGGAGGCGGAGGTTGCGGTGAGCCGAGATCGCACCATTGCACTCCAGACTGGGTAACAAGAGCGAAACTCTGTCTCAAAAAAAAAAAAAGAAAAGCAGGAACTGAAGTCCCAAGGGATGGCAGGGACATGGGATGGAGGAGGCCAGCCCACAGCCCACGTAGGAACTCTGGCCCTTTAACAGAACTGCGATCCTGCTCCTCCGTATATTCTTCGGCCGCTGTAATTCTTCATCAGGCTAAGCTGACTGCTCTAGCAAATGACCCCCAGGTGCCAGTGGCTTCACATCACAGAAGTTTACTCCTAGGTGACGTCATACATCCCCCTTGCTACTAGATGACACCTCTAGGGCTCCAGAGTTTCTACATGGGCTGTGGACTTTCCATGCCCCAAACCCTTCCATTGTTATCACAACCCAGTGAGACCCTCACTGTACCAGGAAGGAAACCGAGGCACTGAGAGGGGGAGCCCCTTCAGTAGCCGGAGTACCCTCATTTTACAGACAAAGAAAATGAGGTGCAGGAAGTAAGCTGGAAAGCAGTGGAATCAGCACGTGATTTTGGATCAACTGATGCACTGCCCGAAGTCTTTTTAAATTTTTTTTTTGAGACAGAATTTTGCTCATCTCTCAAGCTGGAGTGCAATGGCATGACCTCGGCTCACTGCAACCTCTGCCTCCCAGGCTCAAGCAATTCTGCTGCCTCAGCCTCCCAAGTAGCTGGGACTATAGGCATGCGCCACCAAGCCCAGCTAATTTTTGTATTTTTAGTAGAGACGGGGTTTCACCATATTGGCCAGGGTGGTCTTGAACTCCTCACCTTGTGATCTGCCTGCCTCGGCCTCCCAAAGGGCTGGGATCACAGGCGTGAGCCACTGTGCCCAGCCAGCCCAAACTCTTATCTGGATGGGGCAACCCAGGTCGGACCCAGTGGTCAGAGGGCAATGGCAATGGCGGGCCCCGAGCCTGCCACCAGACACCCGCCCTGTGCTGTGATCCTCCTCGAACACCAATCCCTGCCACAACCTCAAGGGAGGTGCAGTCACTCTCCCCTTTCCAAGATGGGGACACGGAGGCGTGGAGAGGGGATGCTCCTGCCCCACTTCACCAGGACGCCCTCTGTGCACCCCCTGCCTGCTAACCTAGATTCCCAATCACGAACACGGGGTGCCGAACCTGCATTTCCGGGGAGCGGTTCACAGGGATGAAGACAGCAGGCTTGGCTGGGACCCTGGGCAGGGCGGGGGCTGCGGCTGGAGGAGGAGGAGCAGGCATCCCAGCTGGCATGAGCTGCCTGCTGGGTGCTGGAGCTGGTGGCAGGGGCGCCACGGTGGTCCCCGCACCAGCCTCAGCCGGCTCAGCAGCCGGGTCCTCGTCCAGCTCCGACTCCTCCTCGGACTCCTCCTCGGCCGAGGGCTGGCGGCAACGTTTCCGCTGGGCACCACTGAGGCTGCTTATCTTCTCCTGGCCCAGGGCTGCCACTTCATCAGGCTTCCTGTTGAGACAGCAGAGACTTTAGACACAGAGGCCCCATTTCAACGCCCAGAGGTCAGGACTCCAGTGCCACGCCCCTCTCTGCCTCAGGGCCTTTGCACCTGCTGTTCCACTCCCGGAAACGCCCTTCCTGCAGATACCTCCTCTCCCTCCACCAAAGCTCTGCTCAAATGCCACCTGTCAGGGAGACTCCCTGGCCACACAGACCCACACCTCCCCTCCTCCCTCCACTGCACTCTTCCCTGCTTCATCTGCTGTTCAGTACTTCCAGCACGGGACACAGATGCACTCGCCTGATGACTTCCCATTGTCGCATCTCCCCCCATGACCCTGGCAGCTCCTTAAGAGAAGGCACTTTGCTTCTGTGCTCTATCCCCAGGGCCCGGCAGAGAGCCTGGACAGTCTGACTTGATAAACAGTCACACGAGCAGTGCTCGCAGGCTTGGGGAGGCCTCGTGTAAACAAACGAGCAGCACAGGCTGAGTGCGAACATGGAGACTGGTGGGACTGGATGGGAGGGGCACACTGTCCATTTAAGGGTCAGCAGCTTGGTGGGGACACTGCTGGAGTGGCCCGATCATCCAACTAGTCAGGACTGGATGGGAACATGAATTCACCTTATCGCCCAGGATGGAGTGCAGTGGTGCAACCATGGCTCACTGTAGCTTTGGCATCCCAGGCTCAGGTGATCCTCCCACCTCAGCCTCCAGAGTAGCTTGGACTACTAGGATAACCCACCATGCCCAGCTAATTTTTGTATTTTTAGTGGAGACAGAGTTTCACCATGTTGGCCAGGCTGGTCTCAAACTCCTGACCTCAGGTGACCCTCCCGACTTGGCCTCCCAAAGTGCTGGGACTATAGGCATGAGCCGTGGCACCTGTCTGGCTTGGTTGTTCTAGGCCACCAGTTTGTAGTAATTTGTTATGGCAGTTCCAAGAAGCTAACATATTGACGAATAGCCCTCATGCCTTAAAACACGACATAAACCAAACAAAACCCACCGATGGGCCACATCCAGCCTCTGACCACTTAATAGCAATTTCTGGCTTAATCAGCTGTGCAAAAGCTGGAAGAGCCTGTGACGTGGGACTCTGCACTACAAGAAAACATGGACCTCACTGGAGTGACAAACTGTGCTGTCCTGTGTGTCGCAGAAGGTTCAGCAGCAGCGATGGCCTTCACCCACCTGAGGCGTTTAGGACAACAATCAATTGTCAGCTGCTCGGGCCAACACAAAGGTATTTTCTCAACTGTCCCGACCCCAGAGGACCCCATAACCCGTGGGCCCTCCTTAGGGGGCCCTGGAGGGAGGGAAGGGTCAGGAAAGGACTGGCTGACTCACTCTTTGGTGTGGTACATGCGGTCCCCAGTGCCCAGCTTCGAAGTGGTATAAAAGAGTCTCATCTCGGCTTCGGAAGCCTGGACCTCACTCAGCTTCTGCAGCAGCTCTGCTCGCTGGGAAAGCAAACGAGTGTGTTATCCATCTGCCATCACGACCCTCTCCTAAGAAGGGAAGCGAGACTCTAATAAAATTTCAACATCATGGCCGGGTGCAGTGGCTCGTGCCTATAACCCCAGCACTTAGGAGGCCAAGGTGGGAGGATCATCTGGGGTCAGAAGTTTGAGACCAGCTCTGCCAACATGGTGAAACCCTATCTCTACTAAATATACAAAAATTAGCCAGGTGTGGTGGCGGGTGCCTGTAATCCCAGTTATTCCAAAGGCTGAGGCAGGAGAATCGCTTGAACCTAGGAGGTGGAGGTTGCAGTGAGCCAAGATCGCGCCACTCCCCTCCAGCCTGGGCGGAAGAGCAAGATTCCGTCTCAAAAAAAAAAATTCTGCTGGGCACTATGGCTCACACCTGTAATCCCAGCACTTTGGGAGGCTGAGGTGGGCGGATCATGAGGTCAGGAGTTCCAGACCAGCCTGATCAACAAGGTGAAACCCCTTTTCTACTAAAAACACAAAAATTGGCCGGGTGTACTGGTGCGCCCCAGTAATCCCAGCTACTCAGGAAGTTGAGTCAGGAGAATTGCTTGAACCCGGGTGGCGGAGTTTGCAGTGAGCCCTGATAGTGCCACTGCACTCCAGCCTGGGTGACAGAGTGAGAGGTTGCCTCAAAAAAAGGAAAAAAAAATTCAGCACCATTAACATCTGGAGTTTTTAAAACCAGAGGTCAAATTGCAATTCCATTGCTGCATGGAGTTCTATCAGCAGACACAGCAAGCTTGGCATGGGCTTTTTTAACCCCTTTGACAGAATCTGGGGCTGTATAAACACGGCTCTTTCCAGCAGGGCATCACAGTAGAAGACGATGGCCCAGCCAGATGTCCAACAGCAGGACTCGAATGAAGCACGGCCCAGTCATGCAGAGCGACGCTCCCTAACCGCTCTGAGGAAGGAGGCAGCTTTGTGTGCCCGATGCCAAGCTACCCTGAGCAATGCTGTGTGCAGGGGGTGTACCCAGTGGGCTTCTTTCAGTTGGGTGAGGGTTTCTTGAGTTTTTGCTTTATTGTTCTTGTAATTGTACATGTAGGTTTTATACACACTTCTATGTGTGTATCTCACACACACACACACACACACACACACACACAGCAAAGTACAGCACAGCGGGAAAGCACCCTCCATAGGATTCAGAAAGGACACATTGACCAGGTGCGGTGGCTCACACCTGCAATGTCAGCACTTTAGGAGGCCGAGGCGGGCGGATCACCTGAGGTCACTAGTTCTAGATCAGCCTGATTAACATGGTGAAACTCCGTCTCTACTAAAAATATAAAAATTAGCTGGGTGTGGTGGCGCATGCCTGTGGTATCAGTTACTCGGGAGGCTGAGGCAGGAGAATCACTTGAACACAGGAGGTAGAGGTTGCAGTGAGCTGAGATTGTGCCACTGCACTCCAGCCTGGGCAACAGAGCAAGACCTTGGCCCAAATAAAAACAACACAATTGGCCAGGTGCGGTAGCTCATGCCTGTAATCCCAGCACTTTGGGAGGCTGAGGTGGGTGGATCACCTGAGGTCAAGAGTTCAAGACTAGCCTGGCCAACACACTGAAACCCCATCTCTACTAAATATACAAAAATTAACTGGGCGTGGTGGCGCATAGCTATAGTCCCAGCTACTTGGGAGGCGGAGGTTGTAGTGAGCCAAGATCACGACAATGCACTCCAGCCTGGTGACAGGGCGAGATGCTGTCCCCGCCCCCCAAAAAAGCACATGCTCACAGGTGAGTGAGTCTTCCCTTACTAAGGCTTTGGGGACGGCCCATCCACAGCTGCTGGGGACAGACCCTCAAGCCTCCTGATGCAGACACAGCTCCCGCGTGCAGGGGCCTTGCCAAAAGCCAAACTTGATTCTCACGAAGCCTCCAGATCAGGGTTCCGCAATCTCAGCACAGTTGACATTTGGGGCCAAATAAGGTTTTGTTTTTCTGTGCATCGTAGACGGTTAACGGCATCCCATGCTTCCACCCGCCAGATGCCAGCAGCACCCACAAGTTGTCACAACCCCAAATGTCTCAAGACACTGCCAAATGTCCCCGGACGGGGGGAGGTGAAACTGTCCCAGATGAGAGTCACTGCTGCAGATCTAAACACTAGTGTAAAAAACCTGACAGCAGAGGAGCATGTTTAAACTGAAGTGTCAAAAATCTGAAGGTAGGAAACTCTGTAAGACAAACGAATAAATTACAATAGGAGAAGAAAAAAGTGATGGGTGAGGAGTACCCGGGAAATTTAACCTTTACTGGATATTTGATATTAAAAAAAAAGATTAGGTGTGCTAACGGTATTCTGGCTATTTTAAAAGTCTCTATTTGGCTGGGCACAGTGGTTCATGCCTGTAATCCCAGCACTTTGGGAGGCCGAGGCAGGTGGATCACCTGAGGCCGGGAGTTCTAGACCAGCCTCACCAACATGGAGAAACCCTGTCTCTAATAAAAATACAAAATTAGCCACGCGCGGGAGAGCATGTCTGTGATGTCAGCTACTCAGGAGGCCGAGGCAGGAGGAATGCTTGAAGCTGGGAGGCGGAGGTTTCAGAGAGCCAAGATCACACCATTGCACTCCAGCCTGGGTGACAAGAGTGAAACACCGTCTCATAAAAAAAGAAGTCTTGGGGCTGGGTGTGGTGGCTCACACCTGTAATCCCAGCACTTTGGGAGGCCGAGGCGGGTGGATCACAAGGTCAAGAGATCAAGACCATCCTGGTCAACATGGTGAAACCCCATCTCTACTAAAAAAACAAGAAAAATTAGCTGGGGGCATGGTGGTGCACGCCTGTAATCCCAGCTACTCAGGAGGCTGAGGCAGGAGAATTGCCTGAACCTGGGAGGCGGAGGTTGTGGTGAGCCGAGATTGCGCCATTGCACTCCAGCCTGGGTAACAAGAGTGAAACTCCCGTCTCAAAAAAAAAAAAAAAAAAAAAAGAAGTCTCTACTTTTGGAGATACAAATTGAAATATTTATGGATAAAATGCTATGTATAGTGGGTTAAATGGCGGCCTCCCTCAAAGATGTGTTCACAGCCCAGAACTCGTGAACGTGACCCTATTTGGAAAACAGTTTTTTGTAGATGTAATTATGTTAAGGCTCCCAAGATTACATGATCCTGAGTATCTGAGTATCCTAAATCCAATGAGAAGCGCCCCTCGAAGAGACACACTGAGGAAAGGCCGAGGGAGGAGGGAGGCAGAGATTCCCTCTTCTGTGGAGTGATGCAGCCACAAGCCAAGGGAAGCTGGAGCCTCCCGGAGCAGGACAAGGCCAGGAAGGGCCCCTGAGCCCAGTGAGGGCACTGCCCTGCCAACGCCTCCATCTGAGCTTCTGGCCTCCCAAGCTGGGAAAGAACAAATTTCTATTGTCTCAAGCCCCTCGGTTTGTGGTCATTTGTATGGCATCCCTAGGCAACTGGCACAGGTTCATTCTACCAGGGATTTGCTTCAAAATGACCCAGGTGTGGGAAAGTGACCAGCACTTGAGATAATCCAAGACCGACCAGGGGCTGAGCAGTGTTGGAGCTGGCCACGGGCACGTGGGGGTTCACTGTACGATTCTCTTTACTTTTGCACGTGTTTGAATTTTCCACGACAAACTTTTTTCCTCTATAAAACATTTAAGGTTTGGTAGAGCTAGAAAAGGCAGGGTGGTGGTGGGGGGAACAAAACAAGAAAAGAAAAATAAATATAAATTTTAAAAAAGAAGAAAAAACAATTAAGGAGAAAAGTCTGACATTCTGTGGAATAGCTGAGTTCAGTTCCTCTGCCTCAGCAGCCATAGGTGGTTAGTGGCTACTGCACCGGACCGTGCACTGGAATTTTCCTCATTCCAGAAAGTTCTATCAGTTGCACCACAGAGACCCCCCATCTCTCTACTCTGGAGAGCCGCAGGCAGCCCCTGCCTGGGCGGGGCATACCTGGCTCTTTTTCTCTTTCTGTTCTAAGATTTTCTGCAGCACTTTTCTCTCCTTCTTGGTCAGAGGCTTCTTCTGCTTCTGCGCCAGAGGGGCTTTGGTCTTCTTTTTCTTCTTCCCCAGGAGAACGAGCGGGTTGCTTGCATCAACTCCCTTCAACGTGTCCTTTTCTAAAAGAGCACAGACGCTTATTAAGGCCCCATTCGGCCGGGCGCGGTGGCTCACGCCTGTAATCCCAGCACTTTGGGAGGCCGAGGCGGGTGGATCACGAGGTCAAGAGAACGAGACCATCCTGGTCAACAAGGTGAAGCCCCGTCTCTACTAAATACACAAAAATTAGCTGGGCATGGTGGTGTGCGCCTGTAGTCCCAGCTACTGGGGAGGCTGAGGCAGGAGAATTGCTTGAACCCAGGAGGCAGAGGTTGCGGTGAGCTGAGATCGCGCCATTGCGCTCCAGCCTGGGTAACAAGAGGGAAACTCCGTCTCAAAAAAAAAAAAAAAAAAAGGGCCCCATTCTCCTGGAGGTGGCTCTAGTCCTGCCTCCTACAGGTCCCCTGACCTGCATGGGGGCCTCCTCCTGAGCTGTGAGGTCAAATCTATTTTCATAACAATACTGTGATGTTCTCAAGGACTGGTGTGGTGGCTCACACCTTAATCCCTGCACTTTGGGAGGCGAAGAGGGTGGATCACTTGAAGTCAGGAGTTTGAGACCAGCCTGGCCTACATGGTGAAACCCTGTCTTTACTAAAAATACAAAAATCAGCCAGGCGTGGTGGTGGATGCCTGTAATCCCAGTTCCTTGGGAGGCTGAGGCAGGAGAATTTCTTGAACCTAGGAGGTGGAGGTTGCAGTGAGCTGAGATCATGCCATTGCACTCCAGCCTGAGTGACAGAGCGAGACTCTGTCTCAAAAAACTCCCCGCAAAAAAACAATCCTATGATGTTCTCTTTTTGTTTTTTGAGATGGAGTCTCACTCTGTCACCCTAGCTAGAATGTAGTGGTGCGAGCGGTCTCGGCTCACTGCAGTCTTCGCATCCCGGGTTCCAGCAATTCTCCTGCCTCAGCCTCCTGGTAGCTGGCATTACAGTTATGCACCACCACGCCCACTAATTTTTGTATTTTTAGTAGAGACGGGGTTTTACTATGTTGGCCAGGCTGGTCTTGAACTTCTGACCTCAAGTGATCCGCTAGCCTCAGCCTCCCTAAGTGCTGGGATTACAGGTATGAGCCACCATGACCAGCCTGATGTGTTCTCACATGTACAGTGGGACCGGGCGCGGTGGTGCATGCCTGTAATCACAGCACTTTGGAAAGATCAGCTGAGGCCAAGAGTTGGGGACCAACCTGGCCAACATGGCAAAACCCCATTTCTACAAACAATACAAAAGCTAGCCAGGTGTGATGGCACACACCGGTAATCTCAGTGTGTAGGAGGCTGAGGCACGAGAACTGCTTGAACCTGGGAGGCAGAGGTTGCGGTGAGCAGAGATCACTCCACTGCACTCCAGCCTGGACGACAGAACAAGGCTCTGTCTCAAAACAAAAGAAAGAGTGTATAGTGGACTAGGCTAAGTTTGTGTCATACCTATTTCTAAACATAATAGTTTGAAAGTATGCATCCCAGACCATTTTAGAAAAATTCAGTCACCATATCACTCTTCAACTCCACCAAGCACAGAATCTTGGGTAGGATGGACCTTGGCAGATACGTGTGTCTGTCTGACGTCTGATGCTGGAGTTTGCTCTCTGGTGCTCCCGTGTGGGCAGTATCTGATTCTTTGATAAACTGTTTGCTTTTTATGTCTTTATGTCAGAAAGAGGACCAGTTTTGTGACCCTAATTAAGTATAATGGACTGGGTGTGGTGGCTTACGCCTGTAATCCCAGCACTTTGGGAGACTGAGGTGGGCAGATCACCTAAAGTCAGGGGTTTGAGATCAGCCTGGCCAACAGGATGAAACCCCATCTCTTCTGAAAATACAAAAATTAGCCAGGCGTGGTGGTGTGCACCTATAATCCCACCCACTTGGGAGGCTGAGGCAGGAGAATTGCTTGAGGTGGAGGTTGCAGTGAGGTAAGATTGAGCCATTACATTCCAGCCTGGGCAACAAGAGCAAGACTGTCTCAAAAAAAAAAAAAAAAAGGGCCAGGCGCAGTGGCTCAAGCCTGTAATCCCAGTACTTTGGGAGGCCGAGGCGGGTGAATCACGAGGTCAAGAGATCGAGATCATCCGGTCAACATGGTGAAACCCCGTCTCTACTGAAAATACAAAAAATTAGCTGGGCATGGTGGCATGTGCCTGTAATCCCAGCTACTCAGGAGGCTGAGGCAGGAGAATTGCCTGAACCCGGGAGGCGGAGGTTGCGGTGAGCTCTGATCGCGCCATTGCTCTCCAACCTGGGTAACAAGAGCGAAACTCCGTCTCAAAAAAAAAAAAAAAAGAAAGAAAGAAAAAACAAAAATCAAAAAGGAGATAATTAGAAAAAATTTCCTCTCTTGATATATTTTTTTTAGATTCTTTTTAAAATGTTTTGGTTTTTCTCCTCAAATCCCTTTTAGCCATACATTTTTTTTTGATGAAATAATGTTAAGCAATCCAAGCTATCCCCTATTTCTCCCTATCCTGTAGTTCTCCAATAGAACTAAAAGGAAACAAAAAAGGGCTGGAGGACAGTGGTGTGGTGTTTTTCTGCAGGCTTCAAATTGTGATAATGTTGCTGATGGCTATTGGAGCACATGCCTGCACCTATAATTTTGTGTTGCAAAAATATCTAGGCTTTAATTTCCAGTACAATAAGTATCAATTGATATAACCCACACAGTCAAAAACTCTTTGGGGTCCTCAATTTTTTAAGAATTCTAAAAGGATCCTCAGACCAAAAAGTCTGAGAACCACTATGATAAGAATAAGGAATTGTGTTAAGAACAAGGAAGTGGGCCACGTGCAGTGGCTCATGCCTGTAATCCCAGCACTTTGGAAGAACTAGGCGAGTGGATCACCTGAGGTCAGGAGTTCGAGACCAGCCTGACCAACACTGTGAAAACCCATCTCTACTAAAAATACAAAAATTAGCTGGGCATGGTAGGGCCTATAATCCTAGCTACTCAGGAGGCTGAGGCAGGAGAATCACTTGAACCCAGGTGGTAGAGGTTACAGTGAGCACTCCAGTCTGGGTGAGAGAGAGAGAGAGACACACACACACTTGTTATCAAAAAAAGGAAAAAAAAAAAGAATAAGTAAGTGGATGGGGATATCAGATGGGTTGTCGGGTGGACTCTTCAAAGAAGGCATCTGACTCATATTCTTTTTTTTTTTTTGAGAAGGAGTCTTGCTCTGTCGCGAGGCTGGAGCACAGTGGTGCAGTCTCAGCTTACTGCAATCTCCACCTCCCAGGTTCAAGCAATTCTTCCACCTCAGTCTCCCAAGTAGCTGGGACTACAAGCACGTGCCAAACGCCCAGCTAATTTTTGTATTTTTAGTAGAGACCAGGTTTCATCATGTTGGCCAGGATGGTCTCGAACTCTTGACCTTGCAATCCACCCGCCTCGGCCTCCCAAAGTATTGGGATTACAGGCATGAGCCACTGCACCTGGCTGGCATCTGACTCATATTCTTATGAGGTTCCTCTGGTCCCTGACAGAGGCAGGGATACCCGGAAACATCCTGTTCTGATGTAAGCAGTAACATTCCCCAAATCTCTGGGTCTCAAAGACCTCAGCCCCTCTGCTCAGATGGCCTAGTTTCAAGTGTCAGCCCAGTGTCTATGGCTGTCTTTGAGGCGCCATCCTGAACTGTCACTGCCATAATTGTCACAGAATTGTCACCTATCCCAGGATACACCCCACCTCTGTAACCTTTCTTCACTTTTCAAAGCATTCTCATTTCAGTCACCAACATATTTTCCCAAATTGCCACCTCTGAAACCCTGACAGCAGGTAGGATGGCTACGACAGGTTAAATAGTCCTGATCCCGGCCGGGTGCGGTGGCTCAAGCCTGTAATCCCAGCACTTTGGGAGGCCAAGGCAGGTGGATCAGGAGGTCAAGAGATCGAGACCATCCTGGTCAACATGGTGAAACCCCGTCTCTACTAAAAATACAAAAAATTAGCTGGGCACGGTGGCCTGTGCCTGTAATCCCAGCTATTCGGGAGGCTGAGGCAGGAGAATTGCCTGAACCCCGGAAGCGGAAGTTGTGGTGAGCCGATATCACGCCATTGCACTCCAGCCTGGGTAACAAGAGCGAAACTCTGTCTAAAAAAAAAAAAAAAAAAATCCCTGATCAGAAATGCTTGGGACCAGATATGTTCTAGATTTGGGAATATCTGTATTGTATTTACTGGTTGAGCATCCCTAATCCAAAAACCTGAGATCTGGAATGCTCCCATGAGCATTTATTTCCTTTGAGTGTCATGCTGACATTTAAAAACTTTTGAAATTTTGGAGCATATTGGATTAAGGACCCTCAACGTGTGCCAATGGCCCCATTCTGCAGACGTGAAAAAGGAAGGTGCAGAGAGGTTAGGGGATCTGCCTCAACTCCCAGCCTGTCGTGCAATTCTTTTTTTTTTTTTTTTTTGATATGGAGTCTGACTCACCCAGGCTGGAGTGCTGTGACGTGGATCTTGGCTCATGGCAACCTCTGCCTCCTGAGTTCAAGCCATTCTCTTGCCTCAGCCTCCCGAGTAGGTCCCGTCTCCTGAGTATCTGCCAAATTCTCCATGCGGTGCCTGCCACCATGCCCGGCTAGTTTTTGTATTTTAGTAGAGACAGGATTTCACCATGTTGGCCAGGCTGGTCTCAAACTCCTGACCTCAACTGATCTGCCTGCCTTGGCCTCCTAAAATGCTGGGATTACAGGTGTGAGCCACCATGCCCAGCCTGTCTGTGCAACATCCGAGGCGTGAACTCAGACTTCCAGATTTGCACTCTAACATGCATCCCTATACCTTCACTGCCTTCCAGGTCCATCGACAGTGTGGAAGAGAATGCTCATTGGTGGGTGGAAGGAAGTAAACTCCTCCAGCAGCCCTGGTGACCCTTCTTTCTGTTTCTAGAATCTTTCTTCATGGCCACATCAGCCTGGCCCTTGGGGTCTTACATAAGTGGCTGGATGAGTTCAATTTTAGAACATGTTTAGTTTCAGGGGCCTGTAGGACATCCTTGAACCCACACAACTGCTTCACTCCAAACCAGCCCTACCGAGGTGCTCACTGCCCTCCCGCTGTTAAATCCAGTGGTCCTTCCCTCCCTTCCTGATTCCAAAGCAGCACCTGACCCACGGCGAGAGTCCTTCTCCCTGGCCTCAGGATTTATACTCTTGCAGCTCACCACACACGTTCTGGGCCGCTCCATCTCCCTTGCAGCCTCCTTATTTCCCTCTTCTCCAGGGCTGGACTCCTGCCCTCAGTCATCTGACTTTAAATAAATATCTATATACTGACGACTCCAAAATGGGTATCTCCACCTGGACTGCGTCTCTTGAGTATCTGAGTCAACAGCTGCCTGCCTACCTTCCTTGCCCGGATACCTAATAGGCCCCAAACCACCCAAACCCTAAGCTGACTTCTTGATCCTCTCCACAAGCTGCCCACTCAACCCCTGGGAGTCATTCTTTGTCAACTCCACTGTTTTTGAGCACAAGCCCAGTCAGGCCACAAATACTGCCAGCTCAGCCTTCAAAACACATCTTGAGCTGAGCATCATGGGCCATGTCTGTAATCTCAGCACTTTGGAAGGCTAAGGTGGGCGGATCACGAGGTCAGGGGTTCGAGACCAGCCTGACCAACATGGTAAAACCCTGCCTCTACTTAAAAATACAAAAATTAGCCGGGTGTGGTGGTGCACACCGGTAATCCCAGGTACTTGGGAGGCCGAGGCAGGAGAATTGCTTAAACCTGGGAGGTGGAGGTTACACTGATCCGAGGGCGGGCCATTGCAGTCCAGCCTGAGGGACAGAGTGAGACTCTGTCTCAAAAAAAAAAAAAAAAACACATCCTGAATGCACCCACTTCTCACCTCCCTGCTGCTGCCCCCTGGCCAAGCATCAGCTCCACCTCCTCCTGCTGCTGGTTCTACCTTTGATCTCTACTGGTTTTCCTCAATACAGCTCCCAAAGGGATGCTGTTAAAATATAAGCCCTCATCTGTCCTCCTCTGCTCTAAACACTCCCACAGCTGCCCTCTCACTTAGAGGAAAAGCCCCAGTCCTGGCCAAGACCCCAGTCCAGGCCAACCTGCTTTGGCCCCCTGTTTTTTCTCTCAACTTCAGGCAGCCACTCTGGCCTCCTTCAGATCTTTAACACAGTGAAGTCTTCTCCAGCAACTCTGTGGGATGCGGCGACTCACCCAATGGCCTCTTCTGTTTTATCTGCCCACTGTATCCACAGAACTTTCTATGTTTTACATGTTATTGTTTGCCTGTCGCCTCTTATAAGCAGATAAACTCAGGGATTTTCTAAAAATCTCCCTTTCTGGTGTGTCTCCAGTGCCTAGAATAGTGCCTGGCATGTATTAGGAGCTACTACTAAAAAGGGGTCTGAGAGAAATGTCAGCCAGCCTGCAAGCTGAACAGACAAGACTAGGCTGAAAAAAGCACATTTGGGGCTCCTTGGAGATTATAATAGAAGTCATGGGAACGGATGAAACTACTTATTTATTTATTTATTTATTTTTTGCAAAATTCTCCATGTTACTATTTGAGGGCAAGAGAAACCCCGGGTATTCCATATACACTGTTAAAACTTGGCTGTCACTAAGCCCCTCTCATTTGGATCATCCGAAATGGTGGGGGACCCATTTCCCCACTCCACACGATCCATCCCACCTCTCTGGGACCCCTCACCCCAGAGTCCTGAAGGCAGGGCACAGGCCCCCCCTGGGAAGTCCCCGAAATCCAACCCTCGTCCCGGGACATCTTACCCTCTAGTTCCAGCTGCACCAGGGGCGTCTCGGGGGGATCCTTCGAGGGGCCAGGACCCGCCTGCTGGCGCCCCTTGATGTTGTACCGCCGGCGTAGCTTCCCCATGGCGCCTCGGCTTGGTGGGGGCTCCAGCGGACCGGACAAGCAGAGAAATCCCAAGTCCAGCCCACGTGGGTTCCCGGACTACCAACTCCCGCCGTAAGACTTCCGGGTCTCGCTATCGCGAGAACCGTAACTGACCCTGCCGCTGAGGGGCGGGGTTGGAAGAGAAACCGTGAAGAGAGGGAGAGGCGGGGCCAGGCCGGGCAGGGGTAGTGGCTATTTAGAGAGGTGGGCGGGGCCTGATATCCCAGCCCTGGCCAGAGTTTCAGACCCAGGCTCTTCTCGCTTGGGGTAGTCTGAGTTTAAATCTGAATTATAGCTACTGATACTAATTTGGCTGCTTGAGAGTGGGAGTGTTTTGTCACCTTTTAAAATGTGCCCCTGCCCCCAATACTCCAGACTTCTCCCCAACTCCGGTTTGCGCATCTGCATTTTCTGATATTCCTACAAGAAACGTATTAGTCGTCTAGTTTTAAAAAGGCACCAACTATTTCCATCACAGGGACAGATGGAAGATCTAAAAGGAGGCCTCTATTAGGCAACTTTAAATTCCTGTTACTGCATCACATTGTAATGCACTCGGAAACAATGCATCATTATTTTACTTTTATTGAGACAAGGTCTGCCTTTGTCACCCAGGCTGGAGTGTAGTGGAACAATCTTGGCCCACTGCAACCTCTGCCTCCCAGAATCAAATGATTCTCCTGCCTCAGCCTCCCGAGTAGCTGGGACTACAGGTGCCCACCACCATGCCCAGCTACTTTTTGTATTTTAGTAGAGACAGAGTTTCACCATGTTGTCCAGGCTGGTCTCGCACTCTTGACCTCAGGTGTTCTGCCTGCCTTGGCCTCCCAAAATGCTGGGATTATAGGCACGAGCCACCGCGCCTGGCTTTTTTTTTTTTTTTGAGGCGGAGTTTCGCTCTTGTTACCCAGGCTGGAGTGCAATGGCGAGATCTCGGCTCACCGCAATCTCCGCCTCCTGGGTTCAGGCAATTCTCCTGCCTCAGCCTCCTGAGTAGCTGGGACTACAGGCATGTGCCGCCATGCCCAGCTAATTTTTTGTATTTTTAGTAGAGACAGGGTTTCACCATGTTGACCAGGATGGTCTCGATCTCTTGACCTCGTGATCCACCCGCCTCGGCCTCCCAAAGTGCTGGGATTACAGGCTTGAGCCACCATGCCCAGCCTTTTTTTTTTTTTTTTTAAGGAGATGAGGTCTGGGCCTGTCTGCCAGGCCAGGCTGCAGTGGTGCAATCACGGCTCACTGAAGCCTTGACCTCTCCTCCTGAGTAGCTAGGACCACAGGCACACACCACCACGACCAGCTAATTTTTTCTATTTTTTTGGTAGCGATGGGGTCTCCCTATGTTGCCTAGGGCAGTCTCAAATTCCTGGGCTCAAGGGATCCGCATGTCTCAGGCTCCCAAAGTGCTGGAATTACAGGCATGAGCCACTGCAAATGCCTTATTGACATTTAAAAAAAAAATTATAATTAGGGCCAGGCGAGGTGGCTCACGCCTGTAATCCCAGCACTTTGGGAGGCCAAGACGGGTGGATCACGAGGTCAAGAGATCGAGACCATCCTGGTCAACATGGTGAAACCCCGTCTCTACTAAAAATACAAAAAATTAGCTGGGCATGGTGGCACGTGCCTGTAATCCCAGCTACTCAGGAGGCTGAGGCAGGAGAATTGCCTGAACCCAGGAGGCGGAGGTTGCGGTGAGCCAAGATCGTGCCATTGCACTCCAGTCTGGATAACAAGAGCGAAACTCCGTCTCAAAAAATATATATATATCTATATAATTAGTATGTCAAATCTGTGGGGTTTTTTGTTTGTTTGTTTTTTGAGATAGAGTTTTGCTCTTGTTGCCCAGGCTGGTGTGCAATGGTGCAATCTCAGCTCATCACAACCTCTGCCTCCTGGGTTCAAGTGATTCTCCTGCCTCAGCCTCCTGAGTAGCTGGGATTACAGGCATGTGCCATCACACCTGGCTAATTTTGCATTTTTAGTAGAGACGGGGTTTTTCCATGTTGGCCAGGCTGGTCTTGAACTCCTGACCTTAGGTGATCCGCCCGCCTTGGCCTCCCACAGTGCTGGGATTACAGGTGTGAGCATCGGTGACTGGTCTGGTTTTTTTTTTTTGAGACAGAAGTCTCCCTGTTGCCCAGGCTGGAGTGTAGTGAAGTAATCTCTGCTCACTGCAACCTCCACACCTCAGGTTCAAGCGATTTTCCTGTCTCAGCCTTCCCAATAGCTTGGATTACAGGCACCTGCCACCATGCCCATCTAATTTTTTTTTTTAGTAAGGATGGCATTTTACTATGTTGGCCAGGCTGGTCTCAAACTGCTGACCTCAATTAACCGTCTGCCTTGGCCTCTCAAAGTGATGGGATTATGGGTCTGAGCCACTGTACCCAGGCTCAAATCTGTGTTTTTATGGATTTTGTTAGGATGGCAGTGATCTAAAGTTTCTTCTTTAAATATGTTTATTTAAATAAATTAAAAGTTTAAGAAATGTTGATGAAACATTAAGTAGGTAGTGGTACATTTGCCTATATTTCCTACTAAAATGTAATTTGTACTACATTTGTACCTTCCAGAAGATATAAAGACCATCCTAGACAGCAAAAAGAAGGCAGATACAGGCTGGGCGTGGTGGCTCACACCTGTAATCCCAGCACTTTGGGAGGCCGAGGAGGGCGGATCACCTTGAGGTCGGGAGTTCGAGCCAAGGCTGACCAACATGGAGAAACCACTTCTCTACTAAAAATACAAAATTAGGGCCAGACGCGGTGGCTCACGCCTGTAATCCCAGCACTTTGGGAGGCCAAGGCAGGTGGATCACGAGGTCAAGAGATCGAGACCATCCTGGTCAACATGGTGAAACCCTGTCTCTACTAAAAATACAAAAAATTAGCTGGGCATGGTAGTGCGTGCCTATAATCCCAGCTACTCAGGAGGCTGAGGCAGGAGAATTGCCTGAACCCAGGAGGTGGAGGTTGCGGTGAGCCGAGATCTCGCCATTGCACTCCAGCCTGGGTAACAAGAGCGAAACTCTGTCTCGGAAAAAAAAAAAAAAAAATTAGACAGGTATGGGAGCATATGGCTGTAAACCCAGCTACTGGGGAGGCTGAGGCAGGAGAATCACTCAAAACCAGGAATCAGAGGTTGCAGTCAGTTGAGATCGTGCCACTACACTCCAGCCTGGGCAACAGAGTGAGACTCTGTCTCAATAAATAAATAAATAAAGTTGAACCAAAAAAAGCCTACCCTAGACTCATACTGTGTGGTTCCATTTACATAAACTTCAAACACAGGCAAAATGAATACCCTAAGTTTTAAGAGGGACAGTGAATGGTAGGGGGCAAAGGAGGCTTTTGGGGGAACTAGTAACATATCATTTCTCAATCTGGGTGCTGGTTACCTTGTATTCAGTTTGTGAAAATCCATAAAACTTACATGATTTTGTATTTTTCTGTATGTTATACCTTAATTTTAGAAGTTTTTGATTATTATCCTTTTTTGTAGAGCTAGGTCTCACTGTGTTGGCTGGGCTGGTCTTGAACTCCTGTGCTCAAGCAATCCTGCCTTGCACTACCAAAGCAGGCGTGAGCCACTACACATGGCCTAAAAAAAGTTTTGTTTTTTTGTTTTTTTTGAGATGGAGTTTTGCTCTTGTTGCCCAGGCTGGAGTGTAATGGCACTATCTCGGCTGACCACAAACTCGGCCTCCTGGGTTCAAGTGATTCTCTTGCCTCAGCCTCCCCAGTAGCTGGGATTACAGGCATGCACCCCCGTATGCCTGGCTCATTTTGTATTTTTTAGTAGAGATGGGGTTTCTCCATGTCAGTCAGGCTGGTCTCGAACTCCTGACCTCAGGTGATCTGCCCCCTTGGTCTCCCAAAGTGGTGGGATTACAGCCATGAGCCACCGCACCAAGCCTACAAAAAAGTTTTCTAAAATATAAACAACACAGGAAAAAAGTGTGCATAGGATATGACTAGGTAATTCACAGAAGTAACTCAAATGGCCAATACATCCATGAAAACCTTACCAGGAATCCAGAAAATGTAAGTTCAAAAAAAGAAAAGAAAGCATTTTTTATTCTTTGGATTGGCAAAAATTGAGTTTTATTTTCTTGGTTGTCTAAAAAATGTTGGTTAGACTTAATTTGTTTGATTTAGGATGCAAACAGGGTCCTTGCATTGCATAGGTTATTGCGGCTAAGTCTTTAAGACTAGTTATCCTCCTCTCCGCTCACCTTTTATGGCGCTTATTTATTGAACAAACTGGGTCCCTGTCTCGTAGAATGCCCCACATGCTGGAGTTGGCTGGTTGCTTCTGCTGTTTCCGCGTTTCCCTTATCTCCCATATTTCCTGTAAACTGTAGGTTTGATCTAGAGGCCCCATCAGGTTCCTGCTTAACGTGTCTTGGCAAGACTCCATCGCAGGTGGCGCTGGTACTTCCTGGCACTAAGATCGATTGGCGGGACCGGGACTTCGCGGCTTGGCCCCTCCATTTTCTTTTTTTTTTTTTTTGCCCCTCCATTTTCAAGTTCCCCCACCAAACCCTCGCCTCTTGGTTTCACCCTTTTCTGGTGATCGTCTCGTGAATCCATGATTCCATTGAGGGGTGCCGAATAACTTTGGAATTGACTCATTCATCTTCATGTATTAGCTGGACTTTGCTAAAAGAAAGTTTTCCTCCCCATCCATTTTGGGGCTCAGAAATACAGTTCAGGAAGGGCAGGAGGATGTTTGACGCTTTCTTGTTGCTTAAAATTTGGAGAACGAATGAGCTGATGCTCACGATGGCCAATTTTGGGGGTACTATTATAATAAATTCAGGGAGATTACATATACATCTACCTCCTGTTTTCCAATCAGCAGCAGTCACCCGGTTGAAGCTGCTGCAAGTTTTACAGGCACGGGTTGCTTTTCCACGGATAAGTTTAAAAAGAGAATTATTTTTTTTAAATGATGAGAAGCCGCACCGGCTCGGGCTGGCTTCCGGAAGGCGGGCGCGGGGCCCCGGGGCCCGGTCGCGTTGGTCCCGCGCCGGGGGCGGGGCGCGGCGTGGGCTGGGCCGTCGCGCCTTTGTGCGCGGGGCGGGGCGGGTGGCGCAGCGGCGGCCGGGCGGCGGCGGTGGGTAAAAGCGCGGCGTGCGGCGCGCGGCCCCCGAGCGCGCCAACCCTGTCCTCGCCGGAGCCCGTGGCGGCCCAGCGCCCGGTCCTCACCCCGCACCGCGACCCTGCACCCCGCCGGCCGAGCATGGGCGCGCGCGCCTCAGGGGGGCCCGTGGCCCGGGCCGGGCTCCTGCTGCTGCTGCTGCTGCTGCTCGGGCTGCTGGCCGCTGGCGTGCAGGGGGCGCGGGGCCGCGGCGGTGCCGAGAAGAACAGCTACCGCCGCACAGTCAACACCTTCTCACAGAGCGTCAGCAGCTTGTTCGGCGAGGACAACGTGCGCGCGGCTCAGAAGGTGGGCGCCGGGCCCGCGCCCACGGTCACCTTGCCCCGGCCGCCGCGCACCTGGCGCCAGGGGCGGGCCTGCGAGGAGCGCGGCCTCCGGGGTTGCCCGGCCGGCTGGCGCGCGGGAAGAGGGGGTCCGGCCTGCGCCTCGGGGCCTGCCGCTCGCGGCCCCCGTCGGGCCTGGCCAGTGTGGGTTTGGGCGGCCGGGCCTCGGGGCGCCCTCTCCGTCGCGCCCCGCTTCTCCTTGGACCTTGCCCCCGCGGGCGGTGCGGTCGGAGCCCTCTCCCGGCTGCGCTGACGCCCGCCGCGCGTCTCATTCATTCATTGACCGCGTTTGAATGGCTCCCACTGTGAGCCAGGCGGCGCCCTCGCGCCCCGGGTCCCCACGCGGCTGCGCCCTCTCCATCTACCCCGGGTTTGTCCTGGCCTCGCACCCCGACCCCCATCCCCTGGGACCTTGTGCCCCACTCCTCCTGTTTTGAAGATTCATGGAGTTGATTTTACTTTACAGGAAAAGAAGGGAGCAAGGCGACTGGCTCGGTTGCTTTGGGAAACCGAGCACCTACTGTGTGGGGGGCTTTTCGCTTGGAGCCTTTTGTTTAATTTGGGATGGTCCAGGACCCTGCAGCCTCCTGGGAAGGGTATTGAGTCCCAGGAGGACGCAGGGAGTTTTTCCCCCATTCCCGCCCTCTGGAGCTGGGTGGAATAGGGGTGCGATTCCAGGCCGAAGTCCGCCTACCAGCTCCTGAGAAGGAGGAAGTTACTGGGGACAGTTGTGTGTGGTACTGCGGTTCCTTTGCTGTTCCCTGCGGAGGAGGGGGAGTCTTGCTTGCCGCCAGCCTCCCTGGAGTTTTGGAGTCAGAGGAGTTTGGGTTCAAGTTGGAGCTCTACAGGTTGGATGGCTTTGGGCAAGTGACTTCACTTCTTTGAGCCTCAGTTTCCTTTTTTTGTTAAACGGGGATAGTAATCAAAGCTCCTTGGTCGTGAGGTTGTTTATGAATAGCTGATACCTTCCTGGCCCAGAATCATGGCTAAAAATTAGTTTCCTGCTCATTGAGAGGGAGGGGGAAATAGAAAGGAACATTAAGGCCCAAATCAGATTGAATGGATGTTCTTATTGGATAAAATGAAAGGTTAATTGATAAGGAAAACAGTCACTTTTGACCTCCCTGTCCTATGGGCAGGGGGCACCTCTTGCAGAGGTGCGTCTGTGTCTTCATACATGTGGGGGAGAGACCGCTATGTAGGTGACCAAGGAGGGAGGCGGAAGCAGGGCTGAGCTCCTGAATGCTAAAGGTTGCCCCACCGCAGTCTGGTGGGGAGGTCAGGAGTGTGAGCGAAGGGAGTCTACACTTCCTCTTAATGCTGTTCCGGAGCCATTTGAAGATAGAAATCGATTTGTTTTAGAGCAAAAAGAAGCCTGTCTTTTTTCACCCAGGGTGACCACAGGACCCCATGTCTCTACTGACGGTGGTTCCGTATGACAATCTAAGGCCAGTAAACATGACACGTGAGTGGATATTTAAGACCTTTTCTTAAATAAGACAATCCATTCTGCAGAGCATCTGAGAATCAGCTGGTCAGAGCTCTTCCTGGGGTAAACCAGGGTTTGTTCCTTTAATAGAGATGCTAAGGATTACTAAGTGCTTTTGTAGATAGAGTAGCCTTTCATAAGCCTTAGAATGACCCTGTGCCATAGGTACTGTTCCCATTTGACAGATGAGGAAACAGGCACACACAGCAGTGAAGTGGCCGGTTTCAGGTCAGACGAATGGCAGAGCCAGGATGTGAACCCAGGCAGAGAGGGGCACGGAGCTCACATTAGTGTCTCTCACCTGTTTTCCTGCCTCATGACCCCTTCCCTGTTCCTAAAGTCAGTGCAGCATCCAGAGGCTGACCTGACTTATTCTTTTTGTTTGTTTTTTTGAGATGGAGTCTCACTCTGTTGCCCAGGCTGGAATGCAGTGGTGCGATCTCGGCTCACTGCAACCTCTGCCACCCAGGTTCAAGCCATTCTCCTGCCTCAGCTTCCTGGAATTACAGGCACATGTCACCATGCCCAGCTAATTTTTATATTTTTGGTAGAGACGGTTTCACCATGTTGGCCAGGCTGGTCTTGATCTCCTGACCTCAAGTGATCCGCCCACCTTGGCCTCCCAAAGTGCTGGGATTACAGGTGTGAGCCACGGTGCAAGGCCCAGGTGCTTTACTTCTCTGTGTCTCATTTGTGCAGAGGAGATAAATTGGGGAATTAGAGGAGATTGGTTGGGCTGTACAATGCCAGGCACTGAATAAGCATTTAGTAAATGGTAAAATATTTCTATATGAAAGGGATTTGTCCGGTAGAAGAGTGATAGACTTATTAATTCCTTTAAAAAGTATTGAGTGATGGCAGGGCATGGTGGTTCACGCCTGTAATCCCCAGCACTTTGGGAGGCCGAGCTGGGCAGCTCACCTGTGGTCAGGAGTTCATGACCAGCCTGGTCAACATGGCGAAAGCCCATCTCTTCTAAAAATACAAAAATTAGGCCAGGTGTTGTGGCTCACACCTGTAGTCCCAGCACTTTGGGAGGCCGAGGCAGGTGGATCACCTGAGATCAGGAGCTCGAGACCAGCCTGACAAACATGGTGAAACCAATTTCTACTGAATACAAAAAGTTAGCCAGGCGTGGTGGCACATGCATGTAACCCCTGCTACTGGGGAGGCTGAGGCAGGAGAATTGCTTGAACCAGGAGGCAGAGGTTGCAGTGAGCTGAGATTGTATCATTATACTTCCAGCCTGGGCAACAAGAGGGAAACTGTCTCAAAAAAAAAAAAAATTAACTGGGCTTGGTGGTGTACTCCTGTAATCCCAGCTACTTGGGAGGCTGAGGCAGGAGAACAGCTTTAGCCTGTGAGGCTGACGTAGTGAGCCAAGATCATCCCATGGCACTCCAGCCTGGGTGACAGACTCCAGCTCAAAAAAAATTATTAAGCGATTTACACACATGTGTTCATAGCAACACTTTTTACAATAGCCAAAAAGTGGAAATATCCCAAATGCCTATCAGGTGATGGAGAGGGAAAATGTGGTGTGTCTGCTTAATGAAATACGATTCAGCCATAAAAAGGAATGAAGTATTGCTTTATGCTACTACTTGGATGAACCTTGAATAAAAAAATGGAAGAAGCCAGACTCGAAAAGCCACATATGATATGTTTCCATTTATGTGAAATATCTGGAATAAGATCCATAGAGACAGAAAGCAGACGGGTGGTTTCCAGGGGTTGGGGAGGGAGCATGGAGGAATTATTGCTTAATTGATCAGGGTTTCCTTTTGGGGTGATGACGAAGCATGGGCTAGATAATGATGAGGTTGCATAACATGAATTACTCACTGCCACTGAATTGTACGTTTTAAAATGGTTAAAATGGCCAACTTTATGTGTATATGATACAATTTTTTAAAAAAAACTTGGCCAGGTGCAGTGGCTCATATCCGTAATCCCACTACTTTGGGAGGCCTAGTAGTGGGTGGGAGGATCACTTGAGCCCAGAAGTTTGAGACCAGCCTGGGCAATGTAGTGAGACCCCATCTCTATGCAAAACCACAAACATCAGCCGGGTGTGGTGGCACGCATCTGTAGTCCCAGCTACTTGGGAGGCTGAGGCAGGAGAATTGCTTGAACCCGGGGAGTGGAGATGGCAGTGAGTGGAGATCACGCCACTGCATTCCAGCCTGGGCAATGGAGTGAGACTCTGTCTCAAGAAAAAAAAAAGTTGAAGATCAGACCTTATCAGTACATGAACTTATTTTCCTCCTCGTGAAGGGCTGCAGAGCACATTGCTGTGAGGATGTGCCGGCGTTGAACCTACCCCTGATGGCTAACGTTGGTCCTATCTTGGGCCACTCCAAACCTGGCTGCAGTGTGGGTCTTTCTGTATGTTCTGTATGTATTGTTTTGTGTGCACATAGACACGTTCATCTGTAAAATTGTTAGAAATGGAATTGCTAAGTCCAAAGGGTCTGTACATTTTATTTAAAAAGTTGCTTTTTTGTTTGTTTTTAAGAGACAGATTCTTGCTCTGTCACCCAGGTTAGAATGCAGTGGTGCAAACATAGCTCACTTCAGCCTTGACCTCCTGGTTGCAAATGATCCTCCCACCTCACCCTTCCACAGTGCTGGGATTACAGGGGTGAGCAAGCACTTCACGCTCTTTTGCTTTTTTGAGATGGAGTCTAGCTGTGTCGCCCAGGCTGGAGTGCAGTGGCACGATCTCGGCTCACTGCAACCTCTGCCTCCTGGGGTCAAGCAATCCTCCTGCCTCAGCCTCCCAAGTAGCTGGGATTGCAGGCACCTGCCACCACACCCAGCTAATTTTTGTATTTTTAGTAGAGACAGGGTTTCACCATGTTGGCCAAGCTGGTCTTAAACTCTGGACCTCAGGTGATCTGCCCGCCTTGGCCTTCCAAAGTGCTGGGATTACAGGAATGAGCCACCATGCCTGACCTACCCTCCCCACTCTTTTACATTTTTAATTGCAATGTAGTTGGTGTACTTTTTTCCATACGTCAATCTACAGCATAATGAGTTGTCCCACACCAAACATACTCCTGTGACCAGCAGATCTGAAAGTGGATTGTTCCAGCCTCCAGAAGTCCCTTTCTGCTCCCACATGGTCACTGACCCCCCTAGGTTACTACTGTATTGGTGTCTACCCATGTACAATAACTCTGTTTGCTTGTGCCCTTGCATAGAAGGGCTCTGCATGCCTTGTTCATGTTGTGAGATACTCAGTGGTCCTTCACAGAGTGATAGCAGTTTCATGCTCACCAGCCGAGTGTGAAGGCTAGTTCCCAAGCCCTTCCCAACAACGTGGCTTTTTGGCTTTATGATGTATGAGACAGATGGCCTTTTCATTTATTCAGAATCCATGGGTATTTTCTGGGCACTGCCCTTTGTTTTTTTTGCCATTCTGTTGAGCTGTTGGGTTCTTTTGTTTTTACTTTTTTTTTTTTTTTTCCATA